TTGTGCGCGCACTACTCGCTCGGCGGCCCATTTCATTGGTCACTGAATTGCCAGCACCTCCACCCGATGCCTCGAGGGCCTCGAGGGCCTCGGCTCGATTTGGGCTAGAAGGAATAACACTCTGACAGCGACACGACAGAATCCATGGCAGCCCCAAGGTTGTCATGGAGGTTGTCATGGCTGTCCAGCAGGGCAAGCCATCTGTTCCTAGGTCTGCTGCGTTTTTGGTTATTGTTTTTCCACACGCAAGCCAGAAGAGATTCAGGCATTATTTGCAACTCCGCACACAAATACACAAGGAGCCTTTCTGGCCACGCCTTGTTTCTTGTAGGTCGGAAAGCAGTCACGATTGGCGAAACGACTCATTTAGGAGTGAGGATTCACGTAGCGCCGGGTGAATCGAAGGTTTTACTGAGGCGTCAAAGGTTAGGAGCCGGAGGGATGCGACGGCCTGTACACGTTTTTTTGAACGGCCTTCCAGCGGAAAGAGGATTCGAGGTAGACCACTGTGATCCCTGTGATCCAGATCTGAGCTACAGTGCTATCAAATCTGCCATTATGGGTGACGCGGTACCGTACCTGCGTACGGCAGCTCTGTTGGGCCGTCGTTTGCAACGCACTGTGTGTCGTTGCAATGTGTACACGTAAACGCGTGCGTCGTATTTGGCGAAAAGCGTGATGCATAGTGGGACTTGCCTACGTACTTGGAATGCGCTAAATTCCTCTCCTTCCTCTCGTATCCCCCTCTGCTTCCCCCATTTCGGCCGTTGCTGATCCCTTACACCTCCCTATGCTTTCCCTCGTTTCCTCCTCTGCTTAGACTCATTTCCCCGCCCTCTCCTTCCTCTCGTATCCCCCTCTGCTTCCCCCATTTCGGCCGTTGCTGATCCCTTACACCTCCCTATGCTTCCCCTCGTTTCCTCCTCTGCTTAGACTCATTTCCCCGCCCTCTCCTTCCTCTCGTATCCCCCTCTGCTTCCCCCATTTCGGCCGTTGCTGATCCCTTACACCTCCCTATGCTTCCCCTCGTTTCCTCCTCTGCTTAGACTCATTTCCCCGCCCTCTCCTTCCTCTCGTATCCCCCTCTGCTTCCCCCATTTCGGCCGTTGCTGATCCCTTACACCTCCCTATGCTTCCCCTCGTTTCCTCCTCTGCTTAGACTCATTTCCCCGCCCTCTCCTTCCTCTCGTATCCCCCTCTGCTTCCCCCATTTCGGCCGTTGCTGATCCCTTACACCTCCCTATGCTTCCCCTCGTTTCCTCCTCTGCTTAGACTCATTTCCCCGCCCTCTCCTTCCTCTCGTATCCCCCTCTGCTTCCCCCATTTCGGCCGTTGCTGATCCCTTACACCTCCCTATGCTTCCCCTCGTTTCCTCCTCTGCTTAGACTCATTTCCCCGCCCTCTCCTTCCTCTCGTATCCCCCTCTGCTTCCCCCATGTCGGCCGTTGCTGATCCCTTACACCTCCCTATGCTTCCCCTCGTTTCCTCCTCTGCTTAGACTCATTTCCCCGCCCTCTCCTTCCTCTCGTATCCCCCTCTGCTTCCCCCATTTCGGCCGTTGCTGATCCCTTACACCTCCCTATGCTTCCCCTCGTTTCCTCCTCTGCTTAGACTCATTTCCCCGCCCTCTCCTTCCTCTCGTATCCCCCTCTGCTTCCCCCATTTCGGCCGTTGCTGATCCCTTACACCTCCCTATGCTTCCCCTCGTTTCCTCCTCTGCTTAGACTCATTTCCCCGCCCTCTCCTTCCTCTCGTATCCCCCTCTGCTTCCCCCATTTCGGCCGTTGCTGATCCCTTACACCTCCCTATGCTTCCCCTCGTTTCCTCCTCTGCTTAGACTCATTTCCCCGCCCTCTCCTTCCTCTCGTATCCCCCTCTGCTTCCTCCATTTCGGCCGTTGCTGATCCCTTACACCTCCCTATGCTTCCCCTCGTTTCCTCCTCTGCTTAGACTCATTTCCCCGCCCTCTCCTTCCTCTCGTATCCCCCTCTGCTTCCCCCATTTCGGCCGTTGCTGATCCCTTACACCTCCCTATGCTTCCCCTCGTTTCCTCCTCTGCTTAGACTCATTTCCCCGCCCTCTCCTTCCTCTCGTATCCCCCTCTGCTTCCCCCATTTCGGCCGTTGCTGATCCGTTACACCTCCCTATGCTTCCCCTCGTTTCCTCCTCTGCTTAGACTCATTTCCCCGCCCTCTCCTTCCTCTCGTATCCCCCTCTGCTTCCCCCATTTCGGCCGTTGCTGATCCCTTACACCTCCCTATGCTTCCCCTCGTTTCCTCCTCTGCTTAGACTCATTTCCCCGCCCTCTCCTTCCTCTCGTATCCCCCTTTTCTTCCCCTCGTTTTATCATCTCCCCTCCAGGCCAGCGCATCTCCCGATCCTAGGGCTCAACACGGATCACACGAGGCGAAGCGTCTGCCAAGGAAAACACACCACAAGCGCCCACGGAATTTGCATTCCTACACGAGATACGTCAGCTGTAAGCTTCCCCTCCCTGCCCTGCCCTTCAACCACTGCCCCAACCTCCCTGCCCTGCCCTTCCCTGCCCTACCTTTCCCCAATCATCACCTCCCAACCCAGTGGGGCAAACTGCCGTTGGGACCTTTCCCTTCCCACACAATGCTGTAACCTCTCCTTCCCTCCCCTTCCCTGCGGTTACCATACCATCCCTTCCCCCCCCACCCCATGACCACCCCCTTCGCTCCCCTTCCTTCTGCTTCCCAACCGTTCTCACCCCTACCCGCCATCGTTGTGCCCTGGTTGACTGCGCCACTATGCTGCTGCGCGCACGGCAAGGAGAATGAGTGCCGGCATGGACGAGCACGTGATTGCTGGCGGTCCATTTTGTTCCTTTATTGAACAGAGCCTGCCCTTCCCTTAGTGGTTCAGTCGGTGCACAAGTCGCTCGGTTCCATTCCGCTCATTCCATGCATCGTCTTCGTCTACCTCCCCTCCACGCCTTCACATCTCCCATTTGTACCCATGCATCTCCCATGACGGCCTCGAATCTCCTCCGATCACCCCACCCTGCCTCCCTTCTCCTTCAGAGCGCAAAAATCTTCCCACGGTATTATCTTCCTGTCTCCCCGCCCGCACAACCGTCAGCTGCTTGCTCTTCCTTCCCGACTCACCCGCCTTTCTTCACACCGCGTATCCGTGGCATCTCATCTTCCCTCCCATCCTACCCATCTCCTTCCCCTCCCGTTTCTCCCCACTTCCGCCCCCATCTCACCTCCATTCCTTCCCATCTCGCCTCACATCACAACTCCATGCCTCCTCATCTCTCCCTCCACCCAGCCATGTGTTCGCTAGTGTCCCCTTGCTTGCCTTTTCCTCTGATCCAGTTTCCCTGACGCTCCCCTTCTCCCCACCTCCACAGGACCAGTCCCTGCTGCCCTCACTCGTCTGCTGCGTCTCGGCCTGCAGAGCAACCGTCCCCCAGGCCAGGCTCAGGGGCCATTCCGTGACTGGGCCAGCTGAAGCAGGTGAGTTTGAAGCCTGCCATTCGGATGCTGGATCCAACCCTTGCCACCACACTCCTTACATTCCCTCAACAACTCTCACTCCTCCCTCCTTTCTGCTGTTATTCACTTCCCCATCTCCGTGCCCTTCTGTAGTTGTTTCTCCACCTTTCCTGGTGATCACTGCTCACCGCCTCCCTACTCACTTCCTTTCCAGCGTATAACCCAACTCTTTCAGAACATATATTCGAACAATGATCTCACCTCCATGCCCTTCATGACCATCTTTCCACCCTTGGCCTATTGTCCTCGTTTTAGGACCTCATCCCTCCGTCCCACACTCTGTCCCTCCCTGTCCCTCACCTCTTTGGCACTTTCCCCCCTTCCAGCCTCATCCATCCTCTTCCACACATTTTCCCCCTAAACCCTCTGCGTCTAGATTTTGTTTGGCCATTGCTACTCTGCTGCTGCAAGTGTGTGTGGTGGGACCCACGCTACCTTCCCCCCTGCAAGTGGCCAGCATCCACACACATTAGTCCCAGAAATTACATTTCTTCGCCTGCTGCCCTCCCCTTCTTGTCCAACCCGACCTCAAAGACCCTCCCTGCCCCTCACTTGCCCACCCTTCCCCCAACCGGCCTCCCTTCTCCCTTCTTTGCTATCCTTTCAATTTCTGCCCTTTCCGGCCTCCCATACATATTTCCAGTCATGTCATACCCTCACTCACACTCCTTTCACTTCGATAACCACCCCTCTCCCTTTCTTATCAGTCCCATAAATTCCTCTCGCCAAGCCCGTTCGGTTTCGTTGGGCCGAAATTTTAGTGGCTACTGTTCCAAAACCAACAGTATTTTCAAAGGTAAACTGAAGCTTTAACTGAAGCAGATCTCCCAAACACACAACCTCCTCCCACTCACACAGAAGCTTGAGCTACGTATCTCCGTAGTTGCGTTGCACAGGACTCGACATCGTAGCAGGCGGTTTCCGCCATCCCTTATATTCCACTGACGTTCCTTCTTTTTGCCTCCGCCGTGCAGGTGCGAGCGTTGCAGCCTCAGCTTTATTTCTCAGTCAAACCGGAAGTGATGAGCCTCTGTTCGTCGTTCTCCATGTTCCTCTCGATTGACCGTGAACCTCTTTCCGCTGATAATGTTTTTTTTTTCTTTTCTTTTCTTTTTCTTTTTCTTTTTCTTTTTTTTGTGCCAGGCACACTCAGCGTCATCCAAGATGGCGCTGGCACCTGTCCCGATCAGCATAGGGGATGCGGTGTGGGCTCGGCTGGATGAGCCCTACGGCCCATGGCCGTGTGAAGTGACCTTCTTGGATGATAGTGGAAGTGTGGGTGTGCGATTGTGCGGGGTGGAGGTAAGAAATGAAGGTTAGGAGGAAGTAGCTTTCCTCATCCTCGAATACCCCCATTTCTGCCACTTCCCACGCTTCCTTTCTCATTTTTTATGCCTCCCTAATATTGATACCCCTTTGACTCCTCGTGTTGCAGGGTACAAAAACGGATTTGGTTAGTCGGAGTAAAATTCATTCATGGTCGTGTTTATTTTTCCAAGGGAGGCCGGCCTGTAAGTTATTTCTTGTAAACGTGATGCATCTGTTGGAATGTGCACATGCGGAGTTCGTGCTCATAAGTGGCACAACTTTCATGTGCATGTGGTTTTTTTTGTACAGTACAATATTTACCAGTTAGCAAAATGTTCAGGATCAGCAATTTTGCTTCACTCTTTTGTGATCCTTGCTCTTTTTTTTCCTCTTACCATTTCCAGCACAAGATTAAGGAGTTTGCTAATGCACGGTTGGAAGGGCAAGCCATCTTCAAGCGACGTCAAGGGCAGGTGAGCCATTCAAGTGGTGATGGGGCAGCCCACCGTGACATGAGTCACCCATGATTCGCCCGTGGTTCTGTCTCGCAGCACCACATGCGCTCGAGGTGAGTCGTCGTCGCTGGCATACATGGTATGGTTTACTCCCTCCTTGTGAACAATGAACCCCCTTCTCGGGACAACCGAGCCGCCACGTTCACAAGGTTGTTGTACATTGTGGTTTAGGTTCCCTTCCCCGCATCCCCGCCGCGGAGAAGGTGCTTGGGGAGGGTGGGGTCGGAGGTGGGTCCTTTCTCCGTGCAGCTGTATTGGCCAGGAATGTTGACCGGCAGCCCATCCTGAAGGCCAGGGCGGAGGTGCAGGTGCAGGCAGATGTGCAGGAGAAGCAAGCCCTGGAGCAGCGCCTGGAGAATGTGGAGCTCTCAACGGCAGACCAGGTGAGCCTTCTCTTCCACCTGAGGCGCTGGCCTCACGTCCAACCTAGCGCGTGAGTCAGGGTTGGGTTGCTGGCGATAGGGGGGTGCTCGTGTGAGTGCTCGCAGTGCTTCGCCCAGGTTTCCGCGCCTTGTCAGTTCTTCTGCCCGCGCTGCCCGTCCGTGTGAGTCAGGGTTGGGTTGGCTGGGTGGGGTAGGTCGAGTGCCCCTTTTGCCTCGTTGTACCGTTGCTGCCAATTCCCAAATGTGAATGCTTCAAACCGCTTCTTCCCTTCCCTCCAGCCCTCCCCCACCTGTCGGGCAGCTTCAAGGGTTAGGCGTGGCAGGAATGTGAAGAGTCGCGAAGCTGCGTTAGAGTTGGTGTCACAGGAGAGCTTGAGCAGTGGAGTCAGCCAACACACAGCGAACTCCTCAGCCAAGGCGGGGAGCCTGCAGGTAGACGGACCCCCCTCTCCCTCTCACTCTCGTGCTCCCTCTCCCTCGCCCTCTCCCTCTCCCTCAGGTGGCGCAGGTGCAGACCCTCTTCAGGAACCTTGTGGAGAGCCGGGCTGCAGAAGGCCGGCTGAGGGAGGAGGTGCGGGAGAGGGAGGCGCAGGTGCAGACCCTCTTCAGGAACCTTGTGGAGAGCCGGGTTGCAGAAGGCCGGCTGAGGGAGGAGGTGCGGGAGAGGGAGGCGCAGGTGCAGACCCTCTCCAGGAACCTCGCGGAGAGCCGGGCTGCAGAAGGCCGGCTGAGGGAGGAGGTGCGGGAGAGGGAGGCGCAGGTGCAGACCCTCTCCAGGAACCTCGCGGAGAGCCGGGCTGCAGAAGGCCGGCTGAGGGAGGAGGTGCGGGAGAGGGAGGCGCAGGTGCAGACCCTCTCCAGGAACCTCGCGGAGAGCCGGGCTGCAGAAGGCCGGCTGAGGGAGGAGGTGCGGGAGAGGGAGGCGCAGGTGCAGACCCTCTCCAGGAACCTCGCGGAGAGCCGGGCTGCAGAAGGCCGGCTGAGGGAGGAGGTGCGGGAGAGGGAGGCGCAGGTGCAGACCCTCTCCAGGAACCTCGCGGAGAGCCGGGCTGCAGAAGGCCGGCTGAGGGAGGAGGTGCGGGAGAGGGATGCGCAGGTGGAAGCGCTCTTTAGGGACCTCGAGGAGAGCCGGGCTGCAGACGGCCGGCTGAGGGAGGAGGTGCGGGAGAGGGAGGCGCAGGTGCAGGCGCTCTCCAGGGACCTCGAGGAGAGCCGAGCTGCAGATGGCCGGCTGAGGGAGGAGGTGCGGGAGGAGGCACAGTCACGTCTTTTCTGCTTCTCTGCTCTCTTTTCCCGCTATTTTCACTTATTTTTCGCTACTCTGTCTGCTTTAACCCCATCCTCACTGGCTATTTCTCCCTCCTCCCCCTCACGTCCTCACGTCCCCATGCTTCGCCCTTCTCCCCCACTCCCTGCTTCACGCTTTTGTTCTGTCTGCCAGGCGAAGGAGTTGGAGCAGCGCTTGGCTGCAGAGCGCACGCTCGCAGCCCGTCTGGCGGCCGCCATGCAACAACTGGAGGACAGCCGGGCGGCACATGGCCAGCTGAGGTATGAGGTGAAGGAGGGACATCATGTTTGCCTGCTCACTTGTCCCGCTATCTCCACATATTTTTCGCTTCTCTGCCTGCTGTTATCCCCATGTTTCCACTTCTTTAAGCTTCTTTGCTTGTTATAAGTCCCCTGCTTTTTTTCCCACTCCACTTCTCTGCCCACTCCTTGGCCGCCCATTTCCTTGCCATTCGCACATGCAGCCATTTGCCATGTTTACACTTCTTTCAGCTTCTCTGCCTGCTATAAGTCCACTCGGGAACCACCCCCCCCCCCCCCCCCCCCCTCCCCTCAGGCACAACGCTAGCAGCTTACCCATTTCTTCCTCTGTCGCCTCCTGTGTGCTACAGGTGCCCACCTTTCCAGCCGGTCCGCCCCTGCAGGTCAACCCTTGGAGCCCGTCCCTGAGGGCGTCCCTCCTCGCCGCCCTTCAGCCTCCCCTCACATCCGATCCTCTGAGTCCACTTCTTCCCTTATTTCCAATGAATATCTGGGTGATTCCATAATTGACTCTGAGTGTCTGTGCCCTCGTGCTGACCTGCAACCACATGCATTTGGTCACATGCCAGCCAGGCTCAAGGCGCTCAGGGAAGGGAAAGCAGGAGAGCTGGAAGACATATTTCCTCCTCGAGCATCCCAACATGCTTAAACCACCACCCCTTCCCTCACCCCCTCCCTCACCCCCTTTCCGCCCTTTCACTTCCCTTTCCGGCTTATCTGCAGGGCTACCACCAGCACTCAGAACCGCTGCACATGCCGGCTTGCTGAAGGCGCCTAGGGAAGGGAAAGCAGGAGAGCCAGTGGGCATATTTCCTCTTGGAACATCCCAACATGCTTCCACCCCTCCCTCACCCCATTCCTTTCCTTCTCCTCTCAGGGCTACCACCAGCACTCAGAGCCGCTGCACATGCCGGCCAAGCTCAAGGCACTCAGGGAAGGGAAAGCAGGAAAGCCAGTGGACCTCCCCCTTGGTATGTACCCCATGCTACCCTGCTCCCACCTCTCCTCTTCCCTGTTGCTTGCCATTGCCACTATGCTTCAACCTCTCCCTCTGCCAAGGTACATGCCACCGTGCCAACCATCTCTTTCCTCTCCTGAACTCCACGCATCAGTTTTGAGGCGCCTCAAAAGTCGTCCGTCTGCCAAGTTACATGCCGCCGTGCCAAACATCTCGCTTCACTCTTGACGACCATGCATCAGGTTCCTCCCCCTCTCTGTGCTTCCCTACCCCTCCCACTCCGCTATGCAGGCAGCAGGAGCTACGAGGTGGATCGGGTGCTGGGAAAGGTGCATACTCGAGGGTGTATGGCGCCACAGAAACCCTTGCTGGGCCGAGATTCAGTACAGCGAGCAAGTGTTAGTGTATCTTGCGGCTCTCACTGTGCCTCCTTCCCCCGCCCATTCCCACTCTGCAGGCAGCAGGAGCTACGAGGTCGATCGGCTATTGGGCAAGGGCGCATATGCGAGGGTGTATGGAGCAAGAGAGACCCCTGCCGGGATGGCAGATACTGCTACCGAGAGCACTGTGGCCCTCAAGGTACGCAATAGCTCTTTGTGTGTCGGTCGGAGTGCGGTAGGGCGTACGCAGCAGCTCCTTCCTACCCTTGTGTGTCGGTCGGTGTGGTGGTGCACGTGTGGTCAATGTGCCTTTTGGTATTCTCCTGCTTACAGTGTACGGAACTCCTTTCCTTTCTCTTGTAAGAATCGCCCGATTTTAGGGTCTGGTTTGGCCCTTTGATCTGCCTATGATAACCGCTCATTAACCTATCCCATGACACGCCTATGCGTCTATCCCATGTCACTTTGTGTGGCAGCTTCACGCCAAGCCATGCCCTTGGGAGTTCTACATCTACCGTCAGATTCACATGAGAATCGAAGGCCCACAGGTGCCTATGCTATCGCCTTTCTTCTTCCCTGTCCTTCATTTATGCATCTTGACTCACCCGGTTCCTAATACTCATTGCAAGGCTAGTTCTGGCCCTAATACTCATGCTTGATGCCCGTCTACTACCATCGTTCCCATATCCCATCCCTAACATTCTCCCTTGTTCCCTCCTCTGGCTCACTTCTCCCTCCCTTCCACCTCCTCCCCACTCTCTCTGCTTTGCCCAGCAGCGGCAACTGTTTGGCTCGGCATCAGCCTACCATGAGTTTCCTGATGCCTCCATCCTCGCTTGCTCCCTTGGCACCAGTGGCACTCTGCAGGTGCGCTGGCATGTGCATGTGAGCATACATGTGGTGTAATTATCCAGGTGAGTGTGCAGGTGAGTATGCATGCATCTACACGCACAAATCCCCTGTGCTCCATCCCCGCAAGCCCCCTCGGAACCAGCGGTACTCTGCAGGTGAGCTGGCATGTGCGTGCTCGAATGCACGTGCACACACACCTCGTGGTGGTGAAGAATGTGTTTAGAGGCCATTTCCATGCTTTCACTTCTCATCCCCACCAACCACACACCGCTTCAGGACGTGGTGAACGCGTTCAAGAAGCAGGGCAAGCCGGTGCCGGAGCCCCTGTGCGTGTTCTACACGGCGCAGATGCTGAGAGCCGTGGAGGCCCTCCACGCTGCACACATCCTCCATGGCGACATCAAGCCCGACAATTTCCTGCTGCGATTCGGGTACGTTCATTAAATGGTTCTGCTTGCTTCTTGCTGCTGCTTGTTGCTTGCTGCTTGCTTCTCACTTTGTTCTGTGTGCTTCAACTCTTTTACTGCCTAAGTATTTGAGCCACTGGGGAACTGTTTAAGTCACAAGGAAGCATTGAATTTGTAAAAAGCATTACCATTTATAGGCCGCCTCAAGAGTATGCTGCCATGTTTTTCCCTTGAGCTGAACCCTTAAGACTACTACGTGCCTGGGTCTGATTGGCATGTGGGTTTCATTGCAGAGCTGACAGTGAGAATCCCAAGGAGATGGTCACTGCTATCGAGGCCGGTGCACCTTCCACGGTATGACTTTGATATCGCTTTACTCTCAATCTCAGTGATCAACCCATTCTCGGGCATAGCTAGTTACACATGCACAACAGCATGACTGCAGTGACCATTACTTGTGGAAAGCCAGCTTGGTACCACGTTCATTGCAGCAAGTCCTGTAACCGGTTCGGCTTTGTACCTGGTTCAGCAGCAGCACCGCTCTCTTTTTTGCTCCTATCATTAAACATCTCCTGTACCTGGTTCCCTGTCCGCTGTCTGCTCTTACCCAATCCTTCGTGTATCGCCCCTCATCTGCCAGTCCACCCTCATCATCCGTCTACCATTTCCTCATCTGCCTCTCCTCATCACCAATCCCCACGCATCCCTACTCCTCCCCACTCCTTCAGGGCCTCACCCTAGTGGACTACGGGCGCAGCATTGACATGCGCCATTTCCCAGAAGGTTCCTCATTTGTCTCGGACAGTGGGCCGGAGAACTTCCAGTGTCCACAGATGGTGGAGGGGCGCCCGTGGACCACTCAGGTATGGTGCAGTGTGGTACAGTGTGGGACGTGTGTACCATGATATGCTTCCCACAGCTGCAGCAGCTGCTTCTGAATGAGGAGAGGGGGGTTATGTCAGGCATTACCGCTCGCTCTTGTTCAATTATATTAGAAGAAGAGGCGGTGTGAGATTCGTTGTGGCGGGTGCTCTGTTCTAGTTTCCCCGTCAGGCAGCAATGTGTGCCTTCTTTGAAGCCACACCCTCTTCTTCATTTCATGTACTCCAAAACCGCCCCACATAGGATTCTGCCTTTAAACGCATTGCCCTGGTTTCCCCGGTAGTTGCATCAAATAATCTAGTTTCTTGCTTCACCATTTCTCCGCGCTCAAGTAGCTCTACCTGCCGTATTGCTTCAAATTCTATAGCTTTCGTTATATTACGAATAGAATTGACGTTTTTAATTTCACATCTGGTACCTAATGGGGTACCTGGTAGACGAACAGAAACATTAGCATCGCAACGCATTGACCCCGTCTTCACTCTTTCCTCCAGCCACAGCTAACTGCATCACTGGCTTCTCTCCATCCCTTTTCATGCCGTTCCTATCCAGGCCGACCTGTATGCAGTGTGCGCCACAGCCTACTCTCTGCTGCACGGGCAGTATATGGAAGTAGAGAGGGTGCCTGCAGGGGAGGGGGGCACTACTGCCAGTGCCAGCGGAACAGCAGATGCGGACAGTTTTGCTGATGAACTCTCTGCTGGCTCTGAGAAGGATAAGGGTTCTTACTGTCGCCCAAGGCTCCAACTCAAGAGGTCAGCCTGAATATGTCCAAGTAACTTCCCCTGCGGTTGGTCGTCATTAGAACGTTCCCTTTGCAGGATTGATTTATTCTTTTTGTATGGTCATACCATCGCTTTCTGACTTGCTGTGCACTGGCATGGGTGGCTGGCAGGTATTGGAACCACGAACTGTGGCATGCACTGTTTCACACCTACCTCAATGTGTCTGCGGGTCAGCCCGCTCCTCCTCCAGCTCCAATTCGTCGCCGCTTTGAGCAGTATTTGGCCGACCATGCAAGTGATGTTTCTGTGCAGCTTTGCCGCCTGCGCAGCCAGCTGTAGGTCCATACTATTGTAGGTCATACTAGAACAAACATCAGTTAATTCCTTGGACCAGGCACCATGACCTCTCCTGCCAATTTCCATTCCGTTCCGCACACCTGTCCATCAGTTGGTAAAAAACGACAACGGTACGGTTACCAGAGACAAAAATATCGTCGTGTTCTCTGCCATCAGGAGAGAACAATGGCGACAGCGTTTATGGAGTGTCTTGTTTTCGCATACGAGAATGCTTTTTGCATATTCGAGTATCCTGTGAGTGTTTACAAATGAATGTACCGGTATCTCCAAATTGATTACGTGCAATTATTTCTGTACAAAAGTGCTTAGAAAGTCTAGAAATACGAAAAACCCACGGGCCATTACCATTATCGAGGCATCGACACAAATCGGAGACAACTGCACGTCAAATGTGGAGCTAGAAGCTTCCAACGAAAGCTCTCCAAATCCAGTAGCGGCTCCTGTTCATCGCACACACGTCCCTCCCTAGGATCTCCACAATGCCGTGTAGGACGCGCTTCTTTCGTATATAGTGCCTCTTCTCACACCCGTCTCGGCGTTTTGAAGCTACCGTTTCTGCACTTCTGCAGCTGAGGATGTCTCTGACGTCTTAGCGATTTGTGTTCGCGATTCGGGATGGCGAGGCGGAAGGTGATACAGTCGTGCTGGAGGGATGCCAACTCCCTCACCGCTCGCACATTCCCATCGCGCTGCGAATCCGCGTCTGCCGCTGCACGGTCAGATGCAGCGAAAACGGAGCAGATTCTGTTACCACCACTTTCGCACACCCCTGCTGGTAATCTGACGCGCGTCGCACGGACGGGATCAAAGGCCATTGATGCACCGCGGTCGAGACACAGGAAACCTCCAGGGTCCTTCATTACTGTCTGGCCAATAGCACTGCGTCAAGATCCGCAGCGGGTGTCTATCCCGGTGCGCGCAGGGAGTCTCCTAGGGCGTAGTGGTACTCCCTTTGCTGCGGCTATTCCCGTGACGAGCCTTCACTTCTCCAGCTGCTTCCCCACCCTGCCACGTGGCAGCAGCGCAAATAACCACGTGTCGCGTCCCAGCGTCGCGGCGCAAGGCAAAATGCGTAGTGTAGTAGTCCCGGTACCGTCATGTGCGGCGAGGGCTGGCGGATGTCGGGCGTGGTCGTCTGTGGGTAGCGGTAACGGGTGGCAGCAGATGCCGGCGCACGTGGCGGAGACGAGTGAAGCTGGTGAGACGAGTGAAACCGTTGAGATGAGTGAGAGCGCGGATTGCGTACCTATTGCTGAGTATGCTTCGGCAGCGGAAGCTGTGGCTCCCGCACCAGAAGCAGCTGCAACAACAGAGGCGTTATTATCCGCAACAGCAGCAGCAATAGAAACAAGAGCAGAATCAGAAGCAGCATCATTAGCAGCAGCAACGGCAATGGTCGCATCGGAAGCAGGAAGAGCAGCAGCAGCAGCGGCATCGCGGGCGCACAGGCGTGCACGCAGAGCAGCACACAACCACAACCACTTCTCACTGCACGACCTCTTGCGGGGTACGCATTACTCTCACTGCACTCACCAATCACCGATTTAACGACCTCCGTTTCCTGTGGGCTAAATTCCATTTTGTGAGCACCTCCTTTGATATCTGTACTGATCCGCTGCTTGTTTCTCCATTCCATCCCACCCCACCCACCAGCCAGTAACCGCCATGCATTCATCCGCGCCCAGTCAGGCTCGGGAACGGCTGTTGGGATTGTGGTGAGCGCATTTTCTCTCTCTTTTTCTCTTTGATGCGCTTTCTTATTCTGATATTAATCTCTAATATTCTCTCTGATTTCCTATAATTCCTCCTTGTGCTGGTCTCACGTCATTTCCTTGATCCCCTGTGCCAGCTGGCGTCCATGCTGGCATCATACGCAGCCAATCCGTACACGACAGGTGGCAGCAGCAGCCTCATCTGCAGGAGCGGCCGCAGCAGCAGCCGCAGTAGAAGCGGAAGCAGGGAGAGCAGCGTAGAGCGGAGCAGCAGAGAGAGAAGAAGCGAGGAAGGGAGCAGCAGCACAAGCAGGGTTTTAGAGCGAGAGTCAGGAGAGGTTTTAGCAGACAATTCTTACATCCAGGATGCATCGTTAACGCTCACCGGCGTTAACAGCCAGCCCACGCCTTCCAATGCAACTGTACTGCCCACAGCTTCCCCCCTGCCTTCCCGCTCGCCCACCCGCTCGGTCCCTTGTTCCCCCTCCGCCATTCCGCCCTCGGTGCTCGTTCTCTGCTCCCCTGACCGCCTGCGCCACCTGCAGGCTGTGGTGGGGGGGGATGGGGGGCGGGGGGGAAATAACGGGGGCACTGAAATTGGGTTGGGGACGGAAGACGTTGAGAAAGGGGTGGGGGAGGCGATAGGGGGAGGGGATGGGGGAGGTAAAGGGCAAGGGTTGCAGGGAGCGGGAGAGGGTGGAGGTGGGGGTGGTGTGGTGATGTTAACTCCTGAGCAGCTCTTGGCCCTATTTGACTCGCTGCCTCCCCGCACTGCCCCGCCTGCACCTGTATCTCCGCCTAAAGAAATGCCTGTTGTGGCGTCTCCTGCGGCTGCATTGAAAGGTACAGTGGATAATGCACATGATGGGGACGCAGTTGGTGGTGCATTGCTGCAGGAAGAACCACGGCCACAAAGCGCGATGAAGCAGCAGGAGCAGCAGCAGCAGCAGCAGCAGCAGCAGCAGCAGCAGCAGCATCAAGTGGCGCGGCAGCATCAGGAGAAGAGTCTAAATCCTGACGTGGCAGCACTGATGTCTGAAATAAGAGTGGTGGTGGTGGATGACGTGGATGGGCTGGTGGGCGCCACGTGGCATGGGCAGAGAAGCTATAGCAGCTGTGAGAGCAGCAACAGTGGCAGCAGCACTAGTGACAGCGGCAGTGTAGAGAGCAGCAGCAGGGAGGGCATCAGCAGTGGTGGTGAGACCAGAACGAGAGCCAGCAGCAGCAGCAGGGAGGGCATCAGCAGTGGTGGTGAGACCAGAACGAGAGCCAGCAGCAGCAGCAGCAGCAGCAGAAGCGCACTTGAGGCCGTTCTAGCTCGCATTGTACCACACTCCACCGTGCATCACCACTCATCAGCATCAGCAGAGCATTCTCTTGAGGGCAGCAGTCCCTTCCACCACTCGCCTTCTGTCCTTGCCTTCTCCTCCTTGGCACCTGCAGATGAAGTGCCACTGGCGTCACCAGCACTGCCAGGAGAAGCCCTGGCAGAGATGCAAGCCCCATCATCAGCAGCAGCCTCAGCATCATCAACGGCATCGCTGTCACCGCGCTCATGCATGGAAGGTCTGCTGGGTTCCCCCATGCACCATCTGGACCTCTCACAGCCGTTGGATGATCCACAGCTCTTTGGATCCAGCCGTTCACCTTCATCCATGCGACCCTCCATCCTATCTGTACGTCTCTGCCTCTCTGTACTTCCTTCTGTCTTGCCCCCTCACCCACTCGCGCACCACTTTTTGCTTGTGTTCTTCCTGCCTCGCTCCCTCTGTTCAGTGTCTGCCTTGCCACCTGTCATCTCCCACCGCTCTCTCGTTTTAATCATCTCACCCTCTCCCCTTGTTCTTTTCAAACTCAACGCCCCACTTATCAGGTGGCATTATTGGAGGCGATTCACTCCTCCGCCCTCCTCACTCCCTCCACCCCGCCCCTCTCCCTCACTCTCCTATCCGACTCCACCCCCCACCACTACTCCCTCGGCTCCGCGTCTCTCTCTGCTCTCATCCGCCCTGTCCTCCTCGCTCCCCCTGTGTCCCCCTCACAACCCTCTTCCACATTCTTTCCAAACCAATCCCCGTCATCATCCCAATCGCAACCACCACAACAAAGCCCATTGCCTACCCTGTCAGCACCATCACTCTCTCCCCCTCCCCTCACCCCCTCGTCGTTCCACCTGCTCTTGCAATCGCTCCTAGCAGCGGGCCTGCACCAGCAAGCACAGCACCTCTTCTCCCTCTCGCTTCTCCCCCCCTCCTCCCTCCATCCCACCCTGCACACCACAACCCAAGCCTTACCAGAGTCCAGAACAAAAGGGGGAGAGCAGGGGAGAGAGAGCAGGGGGGAATCAGTGTACGATCCATGGGTGCGATTTCTCACAGGTGGGTCACCTGGGTCACCCATGGAATGGGGAGCAGCATCAGGGATGCATGGTGGTGGTGAGTCATTGACGTGCCATGGACTGCCGTGTCCGGATTCGGAGTCGTTGGATTTGATGCTGCGGGCCATGGCACGGGACGGCAGGGACTTGTTTGACCTGCTGCGATTGGTGCGCCTCACACACGCTGCCATGGACAGGGCGCATGCTGACGTGGACAGGGCGCATGCTAACGCAGACAGGACACATGCTGACATGGCAGAAGGAAACCGTGCTCCTGCTGCGACTGCTCCTGGGGCAGGCAGCAGCAGCAAGCACCCCCCTCCGCGGACCCACACCCTCAGCCCATCAGCCTATAGCAGTCTCATTCGCGCGTGTGTGAACGGGGGGCAAGTGAAGGAGGCACGGAGACTGCTGAGGGACATGGAGAGGAGGGGAGTGCGGCCCACACAGGCAGCAGTCAACATGGTCTCTCACATGCACTTTCTGCATGGCGACCCTGATGCCGCCCTCTCGCTCCTGCAACATGTGCGGGCAGCGCACAAGCTGCCAATGAACGTCGCCCTCCTGACGACGTATGTGTGGGGGCTGGGGCAGGCTGGGCGGGTGGAGGAGGCGGAGGAGATGCTGCTGGGGGAGGTAGGGGGTGGTGGTGGGATAGCAGGGGGGAACGGGGGGGATGGGAAAGATGGGGGGGATGGGGAGGGGGTGTGTAGTGCTGCAGTGCAGCCGAATGTGCGGACATGGAATGCTTTGATGCATGGGTATGCCGTTAAGGGCGATGCTGATGCTGCTGAAGGCGTGCTGGGACTCATGCGCGGGGAAGGAGGAGTTATGATGGGTGGAGAGCGGTTTGAGGCAGGAGGAGGAGAGATAGGGGTGGGGGGGGATGGTGGGGGAACAGAGGCTGGGGAGGAGGAGGACGGGGAGGGAGGGGAGAGTGATGGGACTGGGGAAGAGTTTTGGGATGGGGATGAAGAGTACGAGGCGGGAGAGAGAGCAGAGGAAGTGAGAGACGCAGAGCAAGCAGGTGATACTGGCATGCGGATAGAACATCATCCGTATCACCAGCATCAGCATCAGCATCAGCATCAGCATCAGCATGAGCATCAGCAGCAAGCCGAGAGCACTCCCAAGAGCAAAGCTCGGTTCCCGTGGCCCAGTGTGCGGCCCAACACAGTGACATACACCACTCTCATGGCAGCATACACAGCGGCTGGGAGGAGTGCAGAGGTGTGGGACGTGTACCGGGAGATGCGATCCCTCTCCATCCCTCCCAACCACTTCACCTTCGCCACCCTCGTCTCCTCCTGCGCCGCCCGCAGCCGCCCGGATCTCATCGAGTCGGTGCTCGCTGATGTGGCGGCGTGTCAGCAGCGAGCTGACGTGGCGCTGGTGACGAGTGTGCTGGCGGGTGTGGCGGGGTGCTGCAGCGGGAGGAAAGAGGAGGCGGGGAGGGTGCTGAGGTGGTTTCTTGGGGAGGTGGAGAGTGAGGGGGGCGTGGGGGAGGCATGTGCTCGGCTGAACCTAGAAGATGGCCTTTCTGATGCTCAGGTGTGTGACGGTGGGGGTGATAGACCCATTTTTGTTGCACCAGGTGTTTCTTTTTTGCATTCCTATCCATCGCTCCTCTCAATGCTAACTGTGTTCCATCCCCCTCTCGCCCATGCCTCCCTGCATGCCCCAGGTGCATAATCTCGCCCACCTCCTCTTCTCCCAACCGTCACCACCCCTTTCCTCCTCTTCCTCCTCCCCTCCTCTCACACTCTCCTCCTTCCCTCACCATCACTCTCATGCCACGCGCGCTCATGAGGTGCTAGCTGCCACGCTCACAGACTGCCTCTGGACGTTTGGACGGCACCGGAGGGCAGCGCTTGTCCTGTCTGCCGCCCTGCAGGCTGGATTGATGCAAGGACTAGGGGAGAGCTCAGGAGACGCACAGGGGAACAGGGAGATGGGCAGCACTGGGTGGGTGGGGAGAGGGCACAGCAACAACAGCAGCAACAGCAACAGCAACAGCAGCAGCAGCATAAGGAGAAGTTTCAGCACGAGTAGCAGTGAGAGCTTTGACAGCAGCAGCAGCAGCAGCGGCAGCCCTGGTAGTGAGAGGAGCATGGGTGATGGGGTCTCTGGGGGTGAAGAGAAGAAGTCATTGGCAGGCCGAAACGGTGCAGGGGAGGTGATGACAACACCCAGACAAGGCAGAGGGGGTGCCACCGAGCTGGTCCACTTAGGCGGCGACACGTGGCAGCTGGACGTGCGGCGGCTGTCGTACGGAGGAGCAGCGGTGGCGCTGAATCAGTGGCTGGTGAAGCTGCTGCACGTGGTGCACTGTAATGACACTGCCCGGCTGCAGCTGGGCTCTGCTGCTCCTGCTAGCAGCGACAGCGTGGAGGAGAAGAATAGGAGCAAGGTACATTACCAAAGAGACAACTCAAGCCAGAGGAGAGGGGGATCGGTGCAGAGCAGCAAGGTAGAGGGAGAGGCGGAAGCATGGGCAGGTGCAGAGGGAGAGACAGAGGCAGGGGAACCGGAGTTACTAGTGCAACTAGCGCCGGCAGCTGCATGGCAGCGGGTGCTGGTGAGAGTGACCGGCGGAGGGGGAGGAGCGAGGAGGAAGGGCGCGCCTGGAGTGGTGGTTGCGCCACACCACGTGGTCGTGGTGACAGGGCAAGGGGGGCACAGCAGGTGGGGGGGGAGGAAAGGGGGCGGGCAGGGGGAGGGGCGGGTGAGGCAGGCGGTGGTGCAGGAGGTGGGGCGGCTGGGGCTGCCACTGGGGGTGGGGGGGCGGGGGCAGCACCATGCGGGGAGGCTGACGGCGTTTGGGCCGGACCTGGTGGCGTGGCTGAGAGGGCCGCACGCCGCTGCCATGCTGCAACTGGTAGATCATGATTGGTAGACGTGGCGGATTGTGATTGGTGGGCCTACACTGCAGTCATTGAATGGAGAGGGGCTGGTTGGAAAGGAATCCTTTTAGCAGCTGTGTTTTTGACCTGTGTAAGCCTTGTACGGTATTGGATGCCTTGAGCTGGGAGAATTATTAACTTTACCGGAATAGGTTTTGCAAAGTTCAGCCGAAGCTTAGGATCCATGAACAACAGCACGAGCCACTAGAGGATAAAAACTACACATTCTCCCATCAACTAACCCAGCACACCCACCCTCAGTGGCGCATGCTGCCACTCGCCTTGCAGCGTCAGCTGCATTGCACTTGAAGCGGCATGTGATCTTCCATGCCTCTGCGGGGGCTGCAGCAACGCAGCCCCAGCTATTCCTGTGCTGCGAGCAGCACACTCGCTACCGCAACGCCTCAACCACCGACCTTGCTGCACCTTGTGCACCTCCCGGCGCTGCTGTCCGTGCCTCTACCCCATCAGCCCCACCTGCCTCATCTGCAAGGCTCATCGCACCACTGCCTGCATTCTCCACATCTGCCTTCTCCTTCCTCTGCATCTCTACCACCCTTCCCCAACACATCGCTATCCCCATGTGGTGCCACATTGCCTGCACTCTCTCCCCTCGCTCCCCCACTCCCTCCACCCTTGATACCATCCCCATCACCCCCATCCGCCTGCCGCCTCTCTTCTTCCTCCTCAGCCATAGCCAGCCTAACAGCCCACTCACCCTCATCACCACCATCGCCCTCATCTCCCTCTGCACTCCCTGCCCCCTCTCGCCCCTCCCCCCTCGCGCTACGCCACGGGTCACAGAGAACAGGGCGAGGGGAGCACACACCCAGAGTCGCCTCTTCCCTACCCATCGCCCCTCCCCTTTCCTTCGGCGCCCCTCCCCCAGGTACCACCTCCCCCAGCGGCGAATCAGTGGTGTTATCTTGTGTGCGCACCTGCAGGAACCGTTTTCTCATGCTGAGAACCTTCTTGCCTGCTTCACCAACGCTTCTCACACATCCCACCTTCAGGTCGCCCTTGGGACTACCGCCCTTGGGACTACCGCCCTTGGGACTGCCGCCCTTGGGACTGCCGCTCTTGGGACTGCCGCCTTTCCTGCCCTTTGGGCTGCCGCCCTTAGGACTGCCGGCCCCATGGTCCCCATGGTCCCCATGGTCCCCTTGGTCCCCTTGGTCCGCCCCAGCGGCCTCACCGTCCCCTTCACCAACCACCACACTCACCACACTCAACTGCCTCCTCCCCTGCCTAGTCCCGCCTCCTGCGTTGTCACCCTCACCCCCCCCTCTCCCCTCGATAGACCTGCGCTTTCGACCAAGTGTCTTGCCACTTGTCCCCGGCTCCCCTCCCCCTGCCGCCCTGCCCTTGCCTGCCCCCTCTGCCACTTCACTGCCTTCCCCTCCCTGCTCACCTCCACTCTCCCCTCTCCCATCCGCATCGGTTTCCGCCTGCGCTGCACTTGAGTCCATGCACCCACGCGGCCGCTTCCTGCACAGGGAAGGGCACCAATGGGAAGGAGAGCAAGCGAGGACAGAGTTAAGGCTGGTCAGAAACATCGCCACAGTAAGGGGCCTTGATGCTGATTGAAGGGAATCCAAGACCTGGGAGGGTGCACTTGAACAAAGGAACAAAGGAAGCATAGGAACACGAGGGCAAACAACCACTGGGTAAAACAGCGTTAATGGCCCACCTGCGAGACTCGCTGCAGATGGTGCCGTTGAGAGGTGGCGGTGGGGGCAGCGGTGCGGGCGGCGAGGGCGACCGTGACATGCAGTGCCGGGCAGATGGGGACAACGGGCGGGCAGGTGGAGACAAAGACGGCCGCCCGAGAGGGGGAGAGGGCGAGCGAGAGAACGGCCGGCGGGCGGTGGGGGAGAGGGATTGGTGCGGGGGCAGCCGATGGGGGTGGAGGTGAAGGGGGTGGTGGAGGGAGGGCAGGGGGAGGGGCGGGTGGGGCGGGTGGGTGAGGTGGAGAGGGGGGGAGTGGGTTCCTGGAACCGTTGCTGGAGCAGACTCGGGGTTGTCTCCATCCTCATCACTGGTGGTGGTGGGGATGGCAGCAGCAGGGAGAGAAGGGGCGGAGAGGCATGTGGGCGAAAGCAGACAAAAGGGCGGGAGTCGCAATGGAGAGGAATGAGGAGAGGGAAAGGGGAATGTAATGCACAGTAGAAGAGCAAAATCACAGTAGAAGAGAAGATCCGCACCTCCCGATTTCAAGATAGACTAGACTTCCCTACCCTCGCGATCCCACCTGCCATCTTGTTGAAAAGCGTTGTCCTGCAGATCCACCTCCCCCTCTTGGCCACCTCTCCGCCTTCTCCCTCTCCCTCTCCCTCTCCCTCTCCCTCTCCCTCTCCCTCTCCCTCCCACCCTCCACCTCCACTCCTTCTCCTCCATCGTCACCCCCATCCCATTCCCCTCCCATCACCGGCACAATACCCAGTGCCGAACCTGCTACCGAACCAGAGAGGTTCGGAAGCCTCTGAGCGTTCCTACTGTTAGCATCAGCATCTTTGGTTTCACCGGCATTAGCATCGGCATCGTTAGTTTCATCACCACTACCACCCTCATCTTCCGCCTCCTCCTCCTCCTCATCCTCATCCTCCTCTTCTTCCTCCTCCTCCTCACCATCGTCATCATCATCATCACCACCATCAGCATCAGCATCATTGTTAGTAGTATCATCAGCATCAGCAGCAGCATCAGCATCACTAAGAGGAGCAGCGTCAGCGTCAACAGTGGCACGCGCATGCGTATCAACAGCATCAGTAGCAACATCATTATCATGTCTTTCCGCGCCTGCTGCAGCATTAGCAGCGGCTTCGGCAGAGGGAAGGGGAGGAGATGCGGGAGGAGAGGAGGGCGGATGCTGGTGCTGCTGATGGTGGTGCTGGTGCGGGTGGTGGTGATGGTGGTGGTGGTGAGTATGGTGGTGGTGGGAGGACGTGGAAGGGGGGAGGATGACGACTGGCGGAGGCACAGCTGGTCTGTTGGACTCTAGGTTCTGTGCAGGGAGGCATGGGGGGCCCAGGGGGGCCATGGGGAAAGAAATGGGGGCAGAGATGGAGGGAGCAGTCGGGAGCGTGTTGGGGAGAGCAATGAGGGGAGCAATGGGGGCATCTCAGCAAAACATGTCAAATACTTCGGCAGCAATGTTAGCATATTGAAATAGAGCCATCAATGTCACAATGTTGCTAGCCTTTCCAGCGCATTGCATCCCTCACACACTCAACACACCGCTTTGAACCAATATCTACAACATTTGCCACCTCTCAGCCCACCTGCACGCCCGTGTGCCCCCCTCTTCTCGCCTGTTCGTATTTGAGTCGGAGCAGCTTGAAGGAGTCAACGTAGTCAATGCAGTCAAGCCATGAGCCGTACGACTCCACTATGTACGCCACCAGCGGCCGCACGTTCTCCTGAGGGGTGCATTTCATGCACAAAGTAGAGTGCATGTGACATGGCAGGAGGAGTGAATGACGGGGACAAAGAGAGTGACAAAGACATGGCAAGTTCAAAAGATTCACCGCAATATGCTCCTCCTTTCCACCCCACCTTCCCCCCCTTAGCCCTTCCACGTTCCCCTCCGTAAGCATATGCTGTATAACCGCACCTTCCTGACGAAGTCAATGAGCTCCAGCACGGCGGAGTTGAGGAGGTTGTAGCGCGCCCCGTTGGCACGGAAGGCCGCCATCACCGGGTCCAGCAGGCGGTTCTTCACCAGGTAGCGCACGTAGAAGTCGTCCTGTGATTGTGAGGGGTGCGAAGTGGGGGAGGGATGGAGGGGTGCATGGGGGGCACAGGGGGTGGAGAGGATGCCTGAGTGTACTCAGCACGCCGCCATCTCCGGCTCCGAAGGATGGTTCTTCACCAGATAGCGCACGTAGAAGTCGTCCTGTCAGGCAGGGGGGAGGGGAGGAAAGAGGGGGGGAGAGGGCATGGGAAGGTGGGGAAGGGCGAATGATGGTGAGACAGGAGGTGCATGGTTCGTCACCTGAAAGCGCATGTGGAAGCAAGTCGTGTGACGGGTGCATGCAGGGGGGCATGGCAGGTGTACCTTGAGTGCGACACAGCAGCGCAGGAAGCGGATGGCGGCCACAGAGAGGTACTTCTCTCGCCGCTGCGTCAGCCGTAGCACCTTCTCCGCCACGCTGTTGCGCAACACGTAGTACCTGGGGGGAGGAGGGAGGAGAAGCAAAGGGGGAAAGAGTAGGAAGCGCGGGGTGGAGGGGAAACAATAAGGGGGGTTTGATCGCTCGTGAAGGGAAACGAGGGAGAAAGGGGTTGCAGCAGATTCTCCACTGTGGTGGACGGGATAATGGGAGGGATGGTGGGAGGGAGGGACGGAGTGAGCTCACTTCATGCGGAAGCTGTGGTGTTGCACGCAGAAGCAGAGCAGGTCACAGATGCTCGTCAGCACGTCCGGTGAAGGCGGCTCCTGGATCCCCCCTCCACCACCCTCCTCTCCGCCCCCCAGCTCTCCTCCTCCCCTCGCCCCCCCTCTCTCCGCTTCCCGTCCTTCTGCTCCATCCCTCTCTGCTGCTTCTGATGAATCACCCCTGCCTCCTGCTCCCCTCCCGGCTTCTCCACCTGCTCTTCTACTCCCCACCCCATCTGCTCTCCCCTGTGCCGCCCGCCTCTTCTTCGTAAGCCCGGTTAATTCTCGGGCGGCAGAGGGGCACGTGGACGGCTGAGATGCGTTGGTGCCGGCAACAACGGCTGAGATGAGCAGCTGGAGGTAGTCCTCGTAAAAGAGGTCCAGGAATTTGCTCTTGTCGGCCTGGCAGGGGAGGAAGGAGAGTGAGCAATAGGGAGAAGAGACGAGAAGAGAGCATGAATGGGCTCATTTGACTAACCAGTGCGTGCATACGCTAATTGATGCAAAATATTCATGCGTGCGGTGCACATCACTTCCTGGATGATGCATGTGTGGACGTGCACTGTGCTGGTGCTGCATCCATGCACCTACCATGCGGCACAGATAACTACCACAACCAGAAATGCTGATTGATTGTGTCTCACCGCGTCCATGGTATCAGGGTCGAGCAGCACTCTCAGCATCTCCAGCAGCTGTGCTGCATTGTACCACCGCTGCTGCATGCATCCCTGAACCCAGCATGCACAACACTAACACATGCAGTATACTGTGCCTCACCGCGTCCATGGTATGAGGGTCCAGCAGCACCCTCAGCATCTCCAGCAGCTGTGCGTGCAGCCCTTCTTCCGCCTGCCTGCACGCCACCATGCCCCGCACCTGCTCCCACCACAGCATAGCACAGCATAGGGTGCGTGCAACGTAGGCGCACATGGGATAGGATGGGATGGGATGGGATGGGATGGGAGAGAGAAAGGGTTTTCCCAGCAGAATGACATAACCGTTCCTTTCTGGCAAACACTTGGAGGCGAGGAAAGAGGCCGTGAAGGCAGGGACACAACAAAGGAGAGGGCGTGAGTGACTGAGCAGTGACATACCAGACAGGAGAGGAGGGCGTGGTTGGGTTGCTCCACGAGGAATGTGCGCAGAGGGGCGGGGTCTGGCACCATCAGCGACATGAGTATGTCGATCCTAGATAGTAGTGTGCGGGGTGGAGGGGAGTGGGAAAGGAAGATGATAATTGAAGGAAATGACGAGGGTGATGAGGAGAAATGCAGGAACATAGTGAGTGAGGACATGCGCGCTGAAGGATGGGCCGATTGAGAGTTGAGACTACGGCATTGAGGCGCATAGGGAGAGTTAGGGAAGTGCGGCTCACCCTGAGAGGCGCACGGAGTGCAGAGGGTGCTGCATGACGAGCGTGCACACGTCAAACAGCCCCTGCGCTATCAGCGCACTGCACCCAGGCGGTTGGAAGTGGAGGTTGGGAGAGAGACAGGCAGAAAAGGGAGTTAAGTGCTGTAAAGCAGGGTGACGGACGTGGCATGTAGAGAGGACATCCTAGCTGCGTGCAAAGCGCAGTGGTGCGGTGTGGCCAGGTGATAGTGGTGGGATGTGGTGCGGTCGGCATGCCCTGTGGTGACACGTGGTTCAGTGAGGACCCAGATCAGATATCATGTAGGTGCAGGTGGGTGTGGCATGGATGGAAGCATGCGTGTGCACGAGGCATAAGACCGTGTGTGTGTGGCATGGAGGCATGGTGATGTGGTGGAGTGTGGTTGAGAGGCATGGGGGCGTGGGGGAGTGTGGTTGTGGCAACCTGAAGAAGGAGGTGCGTTGGGCGAGCTGCAGGTGCTTGTGCAGCGAACAGAACTCCTGGAGAAAGCGCACCTGGGAGCAGGTGGGGGAGGGAGAGGGGAGGTGGAGGCAGTGTTGAGGAGAAGAACAGCTGACAGCGCAAAACAGAAGTGGTGATAGTGAAGCACAGTTCGTGGGTGACAGGCGGGAGAGTGAGACGTGCAAGGGAAGGAGGTGGCGGAGAGGAGAAGGAGGAGGAGGAGGAGGAGGAGGACTCACGAGGTCAGTGAATTGGGGCGAGTGCGGGTCAGAGGAGCGCAGGCGGGCAAAGAGGTCCGCCATGAATGGCTTGTTGCCGTGGAGCGTCGTCACCACCTGTGGAGTGGTGGAGTGGTGCGGATGGGGAAGGGGGAGAAGAGGTGGCGAGATGGATAAGGGGAGTGGAGTGGGGTGTGGTGTGGTGGAGTAGGGCAGGAGGATGTGATAGACATGTGATGCTCAGGTGGGTACAATGAGGAGTGATAGAGAGATAGAACAGCGGAGTGGGAGGTGAGGGAGGAGGGTGGAGGGTTGCACCTCGACGTTATTGAAGAGAATGAGCGAGTTGATGCTGCTGAATGTCTGGTCGTCCAGAGCCCTCGGTAGAATCACATCCTGTGACAGTCACATCAGGGCATGAACGCACATGGGCAGAGAGGAAGTGACAGAAAAACACACTTGACCGCATTGATCTACTCAGCCGATGCAACAGTGTGTCCCTCTCCACATTGCTGCCTCCTCTCCTCACATTCCCCACTCTCCCAGCCCCACCCTGTACTCCTTTATCAGCACAGCACAGCACACGGCGAGTCGCACCTTGATGTACCCGAGGCGGTACGTCTGGTGGATCTTGGCGAGCAGGGTAGCGTTGGGGATGGGCAGCGCCTCGCGGTACACCGCCTGCTGCTGCACACTCGAACGGTGCTGCTGCCTGCACGGCACGTCCGGGTCGTCTGCACGGCGGGCAACAGGGAGAAGCAGGAGGAGAATTGGATGGGAAAGGTGAGGCGAGAACAGCAAGGGAAAGAGGGGGCAAGGAGAGGGAAAGAGGGGGCAAGGAGAGGGAAAGAGGGGGCAAGGAGAGGGAAAGAGGGGGCAAGGAGAGGGAAAGAGGGGGCAAGGAGAGGGAAAGAGGGGGCAAGGAGAGGGAAAGAGGGGGCAAGGAGAGTTAGGGTGGCAGGTGGGGCATTTTGGAGGTGGCGGGGGAAACATGTGGCATGGTGGCATGGCATGGCATGTGGGCATGGTGACTCACACTCAAGCGCGCCAATGACATCCATGATGGCATCGGGTGCAAACAGCTGCTCCAACAGCTGCGAGTCGTTCAGCAGCACTGCGGCAGGGGGAAGAGGGCGGGGGGGAGAGAAGGGAAAGGAGGTGTTGGAGACAAGGAGTCTGAAGGGAGGGGACGGAAGAGAGAATGGAGGCGGATGGATGGAGCGCTGCGGCACGGCACCGCGGCATACAGCGAGAGTGGACCACACCAGTGCAACACAACGCTGAGCAGCACAACGACAGAGCAGGAGAGAGCAGAGCAGCAGCAGAGTTTAGGGCAGCAGGGTTTAGGGCAGGGCGGGTCGGCGCACCGAGGCCTTTGAAGACTCGGTAGAGGAGGTGCAGCGCAGGGGTGTCGTGTGCTCCCTCACTCGCCCTGAACAGCGCCACCAGCCGCGCCACGTAGCCCTGATGAGTGGCATGCGGGGTTGGGGGGTTGAGGGGTGAGAAGGGGGTATAGAGGAGAGGAGTGAGTGTGTTGGAGAGGGAACGGAGAGGGGGATAGCGGAGCAGGGTGAGGAGTAAGGGTTTGGGGAAGTGAAACGGAAAGGGGGAACTGGGGAGAGAGGATAAAAGGAAAAGGTAACGAGGTTGCAGGGATGTTGGAAGGGGGAAAGAGGGATGGAGGGATGAAGGAACGAATAGATGAAGGGACGGATGGATGAAAAAGGAAATGGAGGAAATAAGGGCGGGAGCCAAGCGGATTACCTCTCGGAGGATGAGGGAAGCCATTCGGTCCCGGTGGAAGGGCGACACGTCCGTCACCAGCTGCACGGGGGAGAGGGGAGTGGGGCGAAGGAAAAGGCGAGAACGGTCTGAAGTGAAGGAGACGAGAAGAGGTAAAGGATAGGGGAGGGCGACGGTGTCAGTGGCAGGGAACGAGGAGGGGCGGGCGTAGGGATGTGTGTGTGCCAGTGTGTGTGGGGAGGAATGGAGAGGGCGGGTTCGGTGCGAGGAGAGCAGACCTTGGCAATGGCTGGCAGTGTGCGGGTCTCCACTGCTGGCAGCTCCGATGACTCCTTTGCCACCTCCGTTGCTGCACAGAGAGGGGTGAAGAGAGGGGATGGGAGGGAGGGGGAGGGGGAGAGGGGGATGGCAAGGGGACGAGGGGAAGTAAGACTGATTGGCAAACTCAATTCAGTTGCTACGACCAGCAGGTCACAAGAGGCAAACGGCACACTGGCTTACCGAGGACGGACGGCAGCTGGATCTGGCGCTGCACGTTGCAGATTTGATCCCTGCCGCCCCAAGGGCACCCAGTGAGCAGACAGTTGAGCAAGCGGTGGGCATGCACGGGAGGCAAACACAAAGATGAAGGCAAGGACCCAGTGAGAGAAAAGAGAGATGAGGTGGTTGGATCAAGAGTTGATTGATACAATCACTTGGTTTGCCAAAATGTGCAAAAACAATTGGGTGAGAGGGTGGGCGGGCGTTGAGTGTCAAACACACCACGGCTGACAGCATGGTTTCTGCGGTGTTGACCGAATGCTCGCAGGCCTCTTATCGCATATACACACAGCATATGAGGCTCACCAGACGTAAGCGGACACCACGCGCTCACCAGATGTAAGCACAGCCCATGCTCTCCTGGAAGCTGAGCGCCAGATCCGTGGCCACCTCGGGGTCCGTCCACGAGATGATGGTGTCTGGGCGGTTGGGGAGGAGGGGGCAGCGGAGAGGTTTGGGGGAGGGGTTGGGGGAGAGCCGCGTGCGTGAAGTCACGGTTGTGGGCAGTGGGGGCTTTGTGGAGAAGAATTCTGGTGAGCAAGTGGTTCGGGGAGCGCAATCTGCAGCAGTGCGGTATTTGTGAGACATGGTGTGGTAACCAGGGGCCTGCCTGCTGCCCTTCTCTAGGACTACCTTTCTCTAGAGCCATCTTCCCTAGCACTACCTTCCCAAGTGGGGCAAACTTCCCTGGAGCTACCTTCCCCTAGGTCCACTTCCCTTGGCGATACCTTCCCTAGGCCTACTTTCCTCCAGTGCAACCTCTGCTAGGCCTTCCTCCGCAGGCGCTACCTCCCCTGGCGCTAAATCCCTAGGTCTACCTCCTCTTGAGGCTACCTTCCTGGCGCTGGTAGATGTCGTCGGTGGAGATGCGGTGCACGAGCAGCGTCTTTAAAGGCACCTCAGCAGTTCTACCTTCCCCAGCAGTACCTTCCTGGCGCTGGTAGATGTCGTCGGTGGAGATGCGGTGCACGAGCAGCGTGGCGTTGTCCTCCTCGTCGATCACCACCAGCCCTATCGCGTCCGACCGCTGCCCAACGTGCCATGCACCCCACCGACGCATAGCCCCGAGGAGGGAGGGGAGCGAGTGTTAGAACGCCGGGCCAGACAACAGTGCGTGGCTTCTGGAGAACGAATGGCAGATCGGGCAGGCTTAGCTCTGCTGCAAAACTGAGGCCAGGTCAACCCTAAATCTGCTGCGTTCTCGTCCGTCCCCGTGTCTAGTCATAAGGACTCACCTCGAGATACTCGACGGAGACGTGACCCGTTCCCTTGTCGTCCCACTTGCCGTCGTCGTTCAGGCGGTACACCTTCACCCGCTGCGCGCACTCACCGCCACCACATGTGGGCACCCACCGCCACCACATGCGCGCACAGGGACGCGCGGATTGCACGTGAGCGGGGATAGGGATGGGAATCGTTATTTTCGCTCGGAAAACACAAAAATATGCGGTTTTCGTGTGGTGGTGGGGGGGAGGACGGGAGGTAGATAGAGGGATCTACGTGCAGCAGGAGTGGTAAAAGGAAAGGGCTGCGCAGCTCCGAGGGATCAACAAAATCTTTGAACTAGCTGCCCATTTAAAACGGGAAACAATGTACCCGAAGAGCAAAACGCGTTATTCGGTAACCGCTCGTGAATTTATAAAGCCTTAAAAAGCGCGTGGGCAATAGGTACTTGATCAGCTGCTCTAAGTCGCTATATATCCCTGACGGCTTTGTATCAGCGGGGAGCTCTATCGAGGCTACTGAAGCACGATGAAGTACAAGTCGAACCGCTTGTCTAATCACTACCGCGTCGCAGTACAAACGACGTCACACCGTCGCGTGTGACCTTAAACCAAGCCCTAATCCAGCACCGAGATCAAGTTAAGATATAGCCGTGCTGCTGTTGACGTCGATGGCAATGCAGAAACATGCTGCTTACAGGCTTCATCCAATCTTCGACATACGCCGGAAAACAACTCTAAGGCGGAAATACGCCGGAATGGCGTCGTAACAAGAACCGTCAATAAGGACGTCGACGCGTAACGCAATTTCCTTAACCTGCTTCCTGCCTAGAAACAAAGTTAAGGCCCGGTTCCGCGAAACGTGCCTGAAGGTAATTGTACTCCATTTTCCCGCCCAGCTGCTGCTGATGCGCATGCTGACTCGGATGAAGCTCCGGATCGCGTGGCGAGTGCAGCTCCACGTCTACGAGCAGAGCAGGCTCCAGCTCCTGACCAATCAGCGTTCCCGACATCCTCTGCTTCACAATCGACTTGGCACTGGTTTTAAAAATGCGAGTGAACGCTGTGCATACGAACCCATGCGTCGCGAGAGGCCTATGATAGTGAATTATCTAAACCCGAAACCGTTAGCTTGTGAAACGCGAAAAGGTGATCTGTGGAGGACTGACGTGAAACGCGGGGAAATGGTGGCTTGAAAACAGGTTACAGGAAACGGAAGAAGCGGCAGGCGAGAGACACGAGAAGAAACGCGAAGGGTGGAGGGCAAGTGAGGTGCTGCTGAGCTGAGGAGGCACGCAGCAGGAGTTGGTTTTTTGGGCGGTGCGTGCGCAGATCGGCACGGAACACGCACATCGGCCTTGGGATTGCCCCACCACCCCACCACCCCTCGAGTTTGGTTCGTTTAGACCTAGAGATCAGCGAGTTGGGCAGGGCGACTACAGTGGAAACCTCGGGCGGAAGTGACTGTACCAGAAGTGCCCGCGTGACCCATAAGGTTTTGAAACACGCAGGACGACAAGCTGTCCAGGTCAGAAGGGGCTGGTAGCGGGGAGAGTCAATCAAGTATCGATAATGCAAGATAAATAATCCGTTGAGCTGCTGTATACACGAACCTCGGGTCTCAAGCGAATTACTCAAAATGCCGTACAACCAGAATCTCTTGTTTGTCGCCTGCTTTGGTTCGAGCCATGCAGCCTTTCTCGACAGTCCGCATTCTGAGCACCACATAGCGCAGGAGAACCGCGCTACGATGCTACACACGTCACGATTCGGTATGGAGCGCGATCTGCGAGCTGGAGAATCATCGCTTGTGACAGTAGACTTTATCGAGAGCGAGACAAGGGCCGCTGATACTGCTGGAGCGCTGGCCGATCGTGTGGTCCTCGATATAGCGCACCTCGATCCCTGCCGTCTATCCGTCTACCCTTGCCGTCTATCCGTCTATCTTTGCCGTCTGTCCGTCTCAACCTCCGACCATGGCTGACACGCACAAGCCCTATCGCGTTCTGGTGAGTTCTCCACGTATCTATGACTTTCAGTGCGGTCAACGCCGTTCGCGCCGCTCCAAGCGCATCATTATGGCGCCCTCCGCTTTTCGCGCTTCTTTCTAGGACGCTTACCTGTGGCCGCTTTTCTGTCTTTTGCTTGCATGACTGGGATTCTTTCAGGAGAGAGGCGATATTTTCTTCTTTTACCGCCCTAGAGTGAATCGCGAGGAGGCGCATAGCGTGGATGAAGTGCAGCGCTTCTACATGCTGCTCCGCCCGCTGGACAGCGGTGAGCGCGCGGATGGCGGGGGGAAGGCGGAGGAGGCTGAGGGAAAGGCGGAAGAGGCGGAGGGAAAGGCGGAGGAAGAGCAGGTGGGGCAGGCTCTAGGGGTGAAGGAGGAGGGAGGCGAGGCAGCGAACAAGGAAGTGGCGGGGCATGGAGATGCAAGGAAGAGGGCCCGGGGAGACGGTGAGGGGGATGATGCGGGAGGGGCAGAGGAGGAGGGGCTTAGGAGGAAGCAGGTGAAGCAAGAGGCGGTGGAGGAGGCGGAGGTGGCAAAAGGGGAGGAGGGGGAGGGAGAGGGCGAGGGTAAGCAGGGCAAGCGAGAGGACGAGAAAAAGGAGGAGAAACCGAAGCAGGAGGAGGAGGAGGAAAAGGGCGTGGCAAGGGGGGCAGGAGGCAATAGCGGGGCAGAGGAGAGGGCGGGGGAGGAAGGGGTGACGGACGAAAGGCCCCCTCTGCGCCTGCTGGTGGTGGGGCGCAAGCTGCTGCCCACCCTCTCGCACCGCTCTCGACCGCACTGGGGCTATGTGGATGCCGTGTCACCCCACGTGAAGGACATCAGGGCAGCTCTTGAAGGAGGTGGGTGGGCGGGCGGACGGTCCATTGACGCCCATCGCTCCAATTTCATCACTTCTATGCTTCTGTGCTGCCTGCTTCCTTGCTTTCCTTCTCCTGAGCGACTTATTTTCCAATTTTCCCACTTGAGAGCATTTCCCTTCTCTGCATGCTTGCCTTGTTCGTCTTCCTCGCCCCTCTCCCTAACCCCTGTAGACACCTACGAGACCAAGACACGTGGCACACAGCATGTGGCAGCAGCGCGGGCAGCAGCAGCAGGCAGGTACCTGATTGTGAGCCACGTGCCTGGTGCAATAGTAAGCACCCGCAGCAGCAGGAAGAGCCACACCCACCTGGTGTACTCGCTCCGGTGGCCCGAGACACAGGGCAGAGCGGAACAGGCAGGAGGCAAAGAGAAGGGGGTCAGTAGCAAGGGGAACCAAGCCAAGGGTGCAGAGCAGGTGAAGGAGGAGCAGGTGGAGGAGCAGCAGGGGGGGGAGAAGGGTGAGGAGGAAGGGGAGCAGGAGAGTCCACAGAAGGCGTTCAACATAGAGAGGGAAGCTTCGTACGTGCTGCAGGTGAAGAACCCCCAGGCGCCCAGCAGGCCGCCCTACCTGGCACGCCCCTCTGTGCGCCTGCACGCCTTCCCCCTGCCGCTGCAGCAGCGCCTTGATGGGTTGAGATTCGCCCCCGCGGACCCGCCTGCTTTCTTGGACCACCCGGGGTGCGAGGTGCTGCTCATTGCGGCTTCGGATGACTTGACGAGGGAGTTTGGTGGAGAGGTGGAGCGGGATTTGGCCGCGGGGGAGGGTGAGGGGGGAGAGGGCGAAGGGGAATTGGGGAGCGGGGAAGAGAGCGGGTATGGGAGTGGGTGTGAGGGGGACGAGTGGATGGGGTTTGTGAGGGAGGGTCTGGGGTGGCAGAGTGAGGAGTTGGTGAAGCCTCTGGAGGCAGGGGAGTGGGCGTGAGTGGATTGGAGTGGAGTGTCAAGAGAGTACAGTGGGGTGGACTATGCTTGGCTCTCCCAGTGCAATGTTGCTGCTTGATTGGAAGGATCTTTGCATGCTACTGCTGTAGCTTGACCAGTGCTTGCAGCATTGAATAACGCTTTCAAGCCTCATTGTGGTACCGTAAATGATCTAGGCGTACGGTGCCATAGCACAATGCGGATGTTATGTGAGCTGTCAGGAGGACTTGCCTTAGTGCGCCTGGCCTACAGGGCACTCAGCAGAGTGTTGTGGAGTTAACTATGGCAGGCTGCCTGCACTATCAGCGGGTGAGGGAAGGTCACACACACCCTTCGCTTTCCTAGCTCCAAAACTAATTCTGTCATCACGACAACAGAAAACACAGTATTGATCAAAACTAGGCGAAGCGTCATCTCTGCTTTGTTCATCACTTTTGTGCGACAAAGGCACCGAGCCTCTTGAGCCAGCGCACGTACTCGCGCTGCTCCTTGTCCTCCAGGTACCGCCTCAGGTAGGCTGCCAGCCCTGCACTCATGCCCCTCCGCCTCAGGAACGAGTCAAACTGCTCCTGCAACACCGGATCCAGGGTACTGGCAGGGGAGAAGAGGGGAGGGGGCACGGATCAAGAGGGGTGAGAAGAGCGCAGTGATGGGCTTCATAAGGTAACGAGTCAATCTGCTCCTGCAACACCGCGTCCAGGGTGCTGGCAGGGGAGAAGGGGGAGGAACGAGGGTGAGGAGGGGGGAAGGTGGGGACGGGAACGGTGCAGGATGGGGGAAGGAAAGAGGAGAACAGAGGTGGGCTTGATAAAGTGCAGGGTGGACTGGGGGGAAGGAGAAGGTGAGCGAGTAGAAGGGTAGAATTCGCAGGAATGCTAGTTTGCTTGGGAATGTGGGCGCATGACGGCTGGAACAAAGCAAAAATGTGGAGGAGCGGTGAAGAGGCGGGGCGACGTAGAGGGGAATGGGTGTGTGAAAAATGGGGGAGAAAAGGAGCAGGAGGAGCAGATACAGAGGGCAATGCACTCACGAGAACTGCGGGCCGCCATAGGGAATGCACTCACGAGAACTGCGGGCCGCCATAGGGAATGCCGTCCTCAGGCACGTCAGGGTCCTCCAGGCGCACGTCCTGAATAATCCAAGAGTTGCCGTCCACCACGCAGTCGATCTCCAGCTCCCCCTGCTCCGCCTTCTTGGCAACCGTCACGCGCACCGACAGTGGCGTCAGCCGCTCCCCCTCCTCCTCCTCCTCCTCGTCTTCCTCGCTCACCCCCTCGCCCTCCTCCGGATACGCCTCGTCGTCGTCCGCGAAGGCCGCGACGACGGATATCGCCTCCCCCTGGTACGACCGGCGCAGCACGGCGTCGATGGTGCCCGCCTGCTCCTCCACCGTCCACTCCGCGGGGGGGCCCTCCTTCAGGTCCTGCGGGGTTGGGGGGACGCGGGTATCGGAGAACGGGGAAATGGGGGAATGCGGGTATGCGGAAGGGGGGTTCGGGCGATGGGGGAAACGTCAAGGAAGAGGCATCGCTAAAAGCACCGTGGGGGATCTGACCGTTTAGCAATTCCAACTAGAAAACCCTAATTCAGGCTTTTCGGAAGTAAGCGCTCCGCTATGTCCACCTCACCGTCGCACGCGTGCTGCGCTGTCTACTAGACGAGAACACTCACTTCGGGCGGCTCGTAGTCCTGCTCCTCGTGCTCCAGCTCCGCTTTAAGAACCTTCAGAAGCCCCGCGTCGGTCGACGACGTCGCAAACCCTCGCGCCGCAAACGACGGGTGGATCCAACGGCTGCGATTGCAACCTGCCAGTAACGAGCCTTTCCCGCCGCACGATCCGAAAACCGGGGTGGCCTCGGGAGTGCAGGGCAAGAGATTTTGGTTCCTAAGTTGGTGGAGGCGCCTCGAGGGTGCCGCGGACGACATCCGACGGCTGCTACGAGCCACCGCGCTCAGCGATCTGGTTACCACTCCGCGATACATGGTGGCGAAACGAACGGCGGGAGATGGAATGAAAGGGGATTCGTTCGGATGCGGATAGGCAACGCGATGGAAAAGTCGATCTGAATTTGCGGTGGAAGAATCGCGGAGTGGTCGCGATGGGCCGAGCGGAAGATGCGGTGAGTGCGCTATCATGGAGCGTGCGGCGAGGAAACGGAAGGGATTTGTGCTTGGGTTTCGCAATGGGCATTGGCGTGAAAGAATTAGAAGGATCCGTGATTGTAGTGAATGATTCGGCTGATAAAACAAAATTTTGTTATACCCAAAGTTTGACGTTCGCATTGTACACTTGGGGCAATTTTACTGTACTTAGTTTTGACAGCAAGGGCCAAGTGAAGACTGGAAACGCCACGTGGTCGAATAAGGATGCGCCAGTCCCATGCGCCGAGTCAGATCTTGTCGCCATCGCGTATTGTGTCGCTGGAGCGACTCGATGTTGATGTGAACGACATTTCACCAGGCAAGGGGCGAATTGGTGGAAATTCGCGTATACAGCAGCACAGCCTCCTTATTCTTTGGTAGCACAACCACTGATACTTATCTCGAACAACCCCCCTCTTCTGCCACCAACCGCGTGCAGCAGCTTTTTGTTCCATTGGTGATTTTCTCTGCTCTCTCGATTATCCGTTAACTAGCGGTTCTCCCTTTTGAAGTATAGCCATGGCGTCTCGCCCTGCTGACAGCTCCGACCCAGCAGTTCCCAGCACGCCGATGATGCAGAAGCCCACCACGCCGAAGCGCCAAGCCTATTGGGCGCACATATTCGATAAAAGCACCTTCGGCACGCGCGGGGAGCTATGGGTCCCGTTGCAGCTCCTCGCGATCGCCCTCGTCTTCTTCCCGCTTCCCGATTGGCTCATCACAGACAAGCTCCGCCTTCCGCTCTCCTTCTGCGCGTCCCAGTCCGTCCGCGAGGGCGCGTTTGTCGCGGGAGTGCCGCTGCTCGTGCTGAGCGTCTACCTCGGCCTCGCGTCGTTCAACGACCTCGCGGGGAGCTTCTCGCCCTTCCCCAAGCCGCGCGCGGACGGCGCAGGGCTCAAGACGGGCGGGGTGTACCGCTTCGCGCGCCACCCCATGTACGCCGCCGCCGTGCTGCTCTCCGCCGCCGTCGCGTGCATAACGGGCAGCACGGCGCGGCTGCTGGCGGCGTGCGCCATGGCGGCGGTGCATGACGCCAAGGCTCGCGTGGAGGAGAGGCACCTCAGGGAGCGGTTCGGGGAGAGGTACCTGGCGTACATGAAGCGCGTGAAGCGGTTCGTGCCCTTTGTGTACTGAGGAGGAGCGGCAGTGAGGAGTTCAGTTGGGGAATTGGGGGAAGTGTGATGCCCAATTGTGGCATCGTCTTTAGTATGCTGGCTTTCCTGTTAGGTCTTTGCAACTTGGGCATTTTTAGTGCAGGAGATTGCATAACCTGGCGCCCTGCCCTGTATATATGATCCAGTCGATCATAGATTGTGTATTGAGATCATATCAACGAGGCTATGAATGCAAAACATCATTGCACCACGCAACTGCATTCCGATGTGAAAGCACTGTGAGAACAACTGTTCGTGACTCAGGCATTCGCCTGCAAGTGTTCAAAAGCAGGGGAGCACAGCTCCTCCTCTCCCCCCTCGCAGGGGAACAGCCCATCGCCCCTGTCCATCCACGCACACACCAGAGGCAGGGACCGCTGGGTGGCAATAATCCACAGCTCCATGTCACTGCCCCTCTCCCACCCCACCACGTGCTGGGGTACCCGCCCCACGTCCATGCGCCACCCCAACAGCTCCTCCCCCTCTTCCCCCTCTTCCCCCTCCCCCTCCCCATTCCCCACACTCTGTTGCCTATCCACCCCCTTCTGCCGCCCACCACCATCTGTGTGCTCAGCCAGTATGCAGCTGGGATCGCCTGGCTGTGCTGCCTGATGCATGCTGATACAGTGGCCGGCACTGTAGCAGCTGGGAGCAGCATTTTGGGCGGCGAAGTGGGAGCGGAAGACAGCGTAGCCGTTGGCAACGGGGGCGAGGTGGGAGAGGGAGAAGTTGAATCGCTTCTCCATCGCCAGCAGTAGGAGCTGATTGGGGGGGAAGTGGGCTCGGGGAGATTCAGGTGGGGAAAGGAGAGGCTGAGGATGAGGTGGGTATAGAAAGGGAGGTTGGTAAGAATGGGGCCCATGGCATGAAGCAGGAAGGGGAGTAGGAAGAGACAGCTGTATCACCTTTGAATTGAATCTCATTTTGTGAATCCTGAGAGGCATCTGGTGAGGAGGAATCATGGTCAGCTCAGCGGGGGGGACTATAGTGGGAATAGCAGTTACTAGACTGAGGGAAGGAGTGAGAGAGAGGTACAGTGGGGCCACCTTGGGAGGGCCGCAGCGCAGGAGGGAGCGAAGGGTGGTGAAGAAGGCACACGTGATGTCATCACTGTAAATGACGTCAGCAGCCAGCAGCACGGTGGCATTGCTGGCGTCACTCACATCCTCCTCCGTCCACCCAAACGGGTCTATCCCATTAAACGGGTCCGCTGCGCCATCCATTTCCGCCTGCGCGCCTGCTGCCCTGCCTGCTGCACTGCTGCTGCCAGAGCTGGTCGCTGATTGGTGGAGCCCGGAGGTGCTGGTTACCACGGGAGGCGGCCAGCCGTGGCGCCAGTCAAGGCGGCGAACCCTAGCTGCTGGCACGGGGCTGCGGGGGTGCGGCGAGCAACCCGTGGCTGCGCTGGATGCTCTGGCTGCGTTGGCAGCATCGTCCACATTCGCAGCACAGTTGCGAAGAACGGCGTCCCCTGTGTCTGGTGGGCAGCACGGCGATGGTGTGGTGGGCGGAAGCAGAAAAGACCGGGAAGACAGTGGGATGAAAGGATTCAAGGAACAGAAAAGACGAGGCAAGAGGGAGATGGAGAGGGGAGCAGGGGAAAGGAAGGGTACCTGTGAGAATGACACGCTTGGCAAAGTGAGCCGCTATGATTCCCGCCAGCCCTGCTCCCATGCATGCACCGCAACACAGCAGAGGAAGGGCAGAGAGGAGGTAATGCGGGTGCTGTGACAAGCAGAGACACAGAGAAGGTGCACCCTGAATCAGAACGTCACGGCTCGCTGGTAGGTGATACGGGTGGTGCTCGCAAGCATACATGCACAGAACGTGACGGCTCCCCCCCCCTGCCCCACCTGCGCCCGCCCCCAGCTCGAGCAGTGTTGCGCCCCCCAGCAGGCGGTGGTTGGCCACCATCACGTCCGCCAGTAGCAGCGCCGCGCGCCACACCTGCCGGGGGGGAACAGGAGGGGTTGGAGGGGGAAGAAGGGGGAGAGGAGGAGAGGGTGGAGAGTAGGAGAGAGGGGAGGTGGAGACGAGCAGAAGCGAGATGTGAGGGACAGCAGGGGATGGAGGGCAGGGCGCGAGAGGAGATGGGTTTGATGAGTATGTGAGTGAGGTGGATGAATGCGGGTGAGAAGACAACAGCGCAGCGCCACTCCTCACCTGCCCGCCTCACCTTCTCACCTGCATGCCCACATGAGCGATGGTGGTCTTCATGCTGTGCCGGATCACCACCCTCATCCACCTGCTCCCTCCTTGCCCTTCTTCCCCTCCTTCCACTCCCCCTCCTTCTCCCCTTCCCTCCACTCCGCCTCCTTCCCCAGTCTTTGCGCCCCCCTCCCCTTCCTCCCTCTCACCGCCCTCCTCCCTGTCTTCGCTTTCGTCCTCCCCTGAACCCGCCTGCACTGCTCCGCCACGTGGCACCGTTGCTGGCGGCTGCGTGGCATGGCCTGCCCTGTCAGCAGAAGAGGGGGGTGGGGAGAGCAGCACGGTCAGCCATGCGACGACAGCAACAACCACCACCCCAACCCTCTTTCGCCACCCTCGCCCACCCGCGACCGCCCCGTTCATCCGCCCTCACCTCTCTGCCCGCCATCATCATCCGCACCAGGGCCACCAGCAGCGCCATCAGCGCCATGACATTCGCCTCCATTGCCAACTGTTCGTCGCCTCTTGCGCCGCGCCACCAGCAGATCGCCGTCCGCATCCACCGCCACTCGCCCCGCCCCTTCCGCCCCGCCCCGCGCCTCCCGCTCCCCCGCTATCCCCGCACTGCTTTCCGCCGCACCACTCCGTTCCCCGCCATCCGACCCCTCCCGCCCCTTCGCATTCCCCGCCTCCCCGCGTAGCGCCCATCCCGCGGACAACTCAGGGGGCAGGCGGAAGGCGAAGGTGGTAACGGTGCTGACGTGGCGCGAGGGGCATGCCACGTGGACTTCGCTGAGCACCAAGTAATCCTCATCTGCGCCACCGCCCTCCTTGCACTCCCCCACGCGCTCTTCCCCGCGCCCTTCCTTCTCCGCGACTCTCTCAACATCCTCCTTTGAGGAAGGCTTCAGCGCCCCCTCCGCGACCTCGCCATCACTTCTACAACATCCGCGCGCACGAGTCCCTATGTGCGGACTGCTCTCTCCGCGCGCACTTGTCTCTCTGCGCGGACTGCTCTCTGCGCGCATCCCTTGCGCACGCGAAATGCCTTTTTTTCCGCTAATGGGATTCAGCGCGAATCGACGCTGCAGCGGCTGCTACGCTACTACGCATCTTTAGTCCCGCCGTCTGGGGCAGTGCGAGGGGCAAGGAAGGTCTGGCCTGGAAGAATGCAACGGGGCGGTGGAGAAACTGGGATTGCCCCGATTGGAGGTTGCTGGCCCGATTGGACTGCGTTCATTTTACGGTATTAAATATCATGAAGACTTGATTTGGGAGTTATATGGAAAATTCGCCACAATAACGTCCAATAACCACTAGTATTACCAAAATAGCATGGAGAACGCCACAAAAACCAAGGTGTGCACAAACATGAATACACTGCTCAATGCAGTCTTGCGTGCTTCCTTGGGGGGAGGAGAGCCACTGCTGCCATACGAGGCAGACGACGACGATGCTGACGTGGCACCACCATTTGCTGCCGTGCCATTGATGTACGCGGCACATGCAATGGGGTTGATGGGGCGGCCGACATAGGGGGCGAGGAGAGGGTCGTCCTTGAAGGAACAGCCGGGGGTGTTGGTGAAGGGGTCGCAGCACACTGGCTTTGGCGGTAGAGGGTTGATGGGCCCGTTGTAACACGCCGATGTCCCCTGCATGGCATGGCATGGCATGGCATGGCATGGCATGGGCACAGCGGTGCTTTGTCATGGCTTGCTTGCACAGAAGACTTGGCCACAGGGAGCAAAAAATGGGAGAAAATGCGCTGCAACGAGATTGGAAATGTGGTGGGTAGTCGATGTGGTGGGTGGTTGTGGTGTGGTGCGGTGGGAAGTGGTTGTGGCATTTACCTGGGCGACGTTTACGGTGACATTGATGCCGCTGAAGCGGGCAAAGAGCAGGCCGAAGACGAGCTTGATGAATATCTCCTTGTTGCTCAACAGACTGCCCAGCGTCGCCTGCCCCATCACTGCCATGCCCCATGTGCCATGCCATGCCATGCCCGTGCCATCACACCGTTCCATGGGGGGAACACCACAATGCGGTTCCCCATCATGCAACAACACGCATATTGAGGAGTTGAGGACACAGCGAGGCCATGGATGCCCATGCGCCCATGCACACCTGCAACCATGCATCCTTGCACCCATGCAGCCATGCACCCATTCAACTGTGCTCCTATGCACAACCCACGCAATCTCGTGCACCCATGCACCCATGCCCCCATGCACCCATATTCCCATGCAACCGTGCACCTCAAAGGAGCTGCCTCGAAGCCAGATCCCCCAATGCCTCTCTGATGCACCATGCACCCCTCCTCACTCACACCACTCCAACTCTTGCCCTTCACCTGCACCCCTTCTCTCCCTTCACCTGCACCCCTTCTCTCCCTTCACCTGCCAGCGCCCCTCTTTCCCACTTCCCCACTCACACCTCCCCTCCTCCCTTCCTTCAACCCCCCCCTCTCCCCCCCTCCCCCTCCCCACCCCCCACGCACTGGGCACGTTTTCACAGTCGGAGTAGACCTGGGTGGCGTACGCATCGCACACCGTCAGCACGCCAGTGGTCGCTGTCGACGCTTTCACGTACGTGCCGCCGTCTGGTGCCGTGGCGAAGACACAGAGACAGAGGGTGGCGTCGGGTGGGGACTTGGGAGGAGGGGGAGCGTGAGATGGCGGGTGGTCAGGGGCGGAGGGATGGGCATGGCATGGTTATACATATGATTGTGGTTATGGGCACAGTAACGAGCATTAGCATGGGCATCGGCGTAGGCATGGTAATGGGAATGGGCATGCAGGGAAATGGGCATGGGGATGGGCAGGGCAGGGCATGGGCATGGGCATGGGCATGGGCGCGGGCAGGGGCTGACCGGGGTTGCAGGTGATGGCGCAGAAGAGCTGCTCTAGGTCGTAGCTGCACGCGTCGAACCCCACAAACATCGCACATTGCTGCCGTGGGGTGGGGGGAGGGAAATGGGGCAAGGGATGCGACCCAGAGCGAGATTACAGAACACCCATTGCTGAATATATGGTCCGTGCTCGACCCAAATGCTGCTGTGTGTCTCAGATGCAAGCCCTCGCTACAGTTACCACCACGCACGCACTACCACAACCTGGTGGGTCGCTTTATAGGCACCTGCACGTCCTCGTTATAGGCACCTGCACGTCCTCGTTATGGGCACCTGCTTGTCCTCGTTGTAATCACCTGCACGCCCTCGTTATAGTCACCTGGACGTCCTTGTTGCCGATGATGGCGACGATCTCGGGTTTGAGCATCTGCAGCACAACGGTCTGATTCGCCGTGATGCCGTGCAGCGCGTTGCTCGTGTCGCTGCAGTCCGCGCAGCACGCGCGCTCCGTCGCGTCCACGCACCGCGCCATCGTCACGTTCGGCTTCGCCGGCGGCTTCTGCGTGAACGGACACAGCGGGTACGCTTTTGCGCTGCTCTGCGCGCTGACGTGGCATATGAAAGAGAGAACGAGCAGGAGGAGAGGCAACAGCTGGTGGCGCGAGGAAGCGGAGCGTCTACTATGGAACGGCATTGCGACGGTACTTGCGCTGCGCGCATGCGATTCTTTCGGCGGGGGTGGAGTCGCAATGAGAGGAAAGAAGAGGTTGCTGCTCTGCGCGCCGAGGCGGCGCGTCGAGTTGAAGGCGTCGAAACGCTTTGTTACGAGGGCGGCGCGCGACACAGTGGAGGGGAGCAGCACGGCTGGTTAGTGCTCTGTGGTGGCGATCAGCGTAATGCGCGGAGCCAACAACGCAAAAACAGTTCAGGGATGCGCAGCGGAACAGCGCTAAGCCAGGAGGTGGGAGGGACTGAAGAAGGCTAGTCACGGATTAGCTTCGCGAGGGTGCGTGGGGGTAAGCTGGCAACAGCAAGAAAACTGGTAAGCCGAGAAGAAGCGCGTGCTTAGCCGCAACTGCCACAACCACAACTGATGCTGCCGTGCCGACTCGCGTGGACGATGCGCTCCCTCTGCTGTGCGCCCAACTCGACCCTCCCCTGCGGCTCCGCTCCGCCCCGCGCCACGCTGCTTGTGCGCCGCAAGAGGCTTGGGTTCGGTTATGTTTGGTTCGGCTGGGTGGCTCGGTTTGGGGGCAGCGCGGAAATGCCGTTGACTGGGGGGACAAGCGGATAAAGGCGACCAATTTTCCCTCCCAGCTGTACGCGGTTGCTCTCCCCTCGCCCCGCTTGGCCTCCGCATTTCGTCTCCCCGAGGCTACAATACTTCCTCCGCCTGTACAGCTAGCTGCTCAACTCGGCAAGAAAGTGCCCCTCCCCCAAGCTAAAAGCGATTGTGATTGGCTCTCTGTGTATAAGGTTTTCGGTGATGGTTGTAACCGTATATCGAGATCTGACGTGTCACCGACAAGCTACCAGACAAAAATGCTTCTAGTATCGGGGCGAATGTTTGAGGTGTTTTGCCTCACCGAATAAACTTCGCGTCTAGCTTTCGGTAGATCCATTTATGGGGTGAACATATACAGTCTAGCTTTGTAATCGCGGGGTTACAAAAACTCCAGGTTTATACTCAAGCGAGGATATTTAGTGGGACCACTGGAAATCTCAAATAAGCTTCGGCGAAGTCGGACTCGTCCCACGTGTCTGGATAAACAGCAGCATTCCCTCGAGCAATTCGGCGGGAGTCGTGAACCTCTTCACCAGCTCACCTTTCCCATACCCAAATCAAACCGATGAATTCGCTCGCGATGCGCGTGTCACCCATCAATTGCGTAGAGCCACAACCGTTGCTCCAGCTGTCCATTGTGATTGGCCAAAGAGAATATTTTCCTGAACCGGACGACACCACGCCGTTACCCAGTTACGGAATTGCGTTCCGCGTCCCGCTTCCCCTTCGCCCTCGCAGAAACACAGCCCAAGCTGGGGCGCCATTTCGAGCGGCATATAAGGGCGCGTGTCTTTTGTAAAATCTATGCAAACTCGAGTTTTGAGTTGAACTTACGCAGTTGAACCTAGGTCGACCTAGGCTCAACAATATTGGTTGCTGTAGCCCGAGTCGCTGCTCCTCAACCCACAAGAACCAAAAGACACGCGAAAGTTCAACAATCGAAGTTGAACTTTTCCGAGTCGCGGTTAACCTACGTAGGTTACCCTGTTTTTGACGCGTTTTGGCGACACAGTAACCCTTTTTCGAAGTCGTTCGTGCGCACGAAATGTGCTACGACCGTCGCCTACATTCGCAACTACCTAGTGCATTGTCAAGAGGACACACGAGTGAATTTTTGTGCATGCATAGTTTCAACCGAAAGTTCAACCCATTCGTCATCTACAATGTTGTACTAGGACACACGATGCACAAACGAAACATTTAGCGAGATTCGCGATTAGGGTTACCAGCATAAGTTCAACCGAATTTTCGAACCTCTACAGCAAAAGACACGCGCCCTAACTGCACGACCCTTCATCTATTGCAAGTATGCCCCTCTCCATCTCCCTTGCACCCCTTCCGCTTCATCCTCGTTTTGGAAGCAACAGGTGCCCACTCTCTTCAAGCGCGGCACTTGATTGTATCCTCGTCCTGTTGCACACGTTGCCGTCCTGAGGACAAGAGTCCAAGATGGCGTGTTCCGTCCCTGCTCGCGTTGCCGCACGGCAGCCGCTCGCGGCAGTCAGCAGGCCCGTCGCCGCTGAAGCTGCGCCATCGGCGCGCAGTGCGTTTCTAGGGAATGACGCGGCGGTCTTGCGCCGCCTCCGCAAGGCAGCAGCGCGGTCGAAGAAGGGCAACCATTCTGCCGTCACCAGAAGGATGCGGCTTCCGCCGGCGCGCGCGGCGCTGGCGGACGTACGGCCCGCGACGAAGCCGTCGGAGGAGATTGCGGTGGCGCACGAGGCGGGGGAGGAGGTGACGGCGTCTGCGGAGTTCCGCGCGCAGGCGCTTGTGAAGGATAAGGCGCAGGTGAGAATTGAGCGGTGGGGACACTCGAACAAGCACGTGCCACACTTGTTGCGACATCGCGAACAACATTGATGTGGCTCGTCTCGCGTCGCTCGTCAATGGCTGAATTATTTCTGGTAAGCGATGGCATCGTGTGAGAGGCGATTCGAGCATGTGATTCCGAAAATTGCGGAGGAGACACAAGTAAATTGTGGTGCCACTTACCGTTCCTCCTGTTACGCCGGCCCGTGTCATGTCCCGTTACAGTACGATGAGATGTACCGGCGCTCCATCGAGCAGCCCGACGCGTTCTGGGCGGACCTGGCGCGCCAGTTCTATTGGCGCACGCCCTTCCCCGTGTCGCCCGACGGCAAGGTGCATTCAGAGAACCTGGACGTGCGGCGCGGGCGCGTGAACGTGGAGTGGTTCAAGGGCGGCGCGACCAACATCTGCTACAACGCCGTCGACCGTTGGGTGGAGCAGGGGCAGGGGCACCGCGTCGCGTTCTTCTGGGAGGGCAACAACGAGACGGATTCCGTCACGCTGACGTACGCGGAGCTGCTGGAGCGCGTGAAGCAGACGGCGGCGTATCTGCGGTCGCAGGGCGTGAAGCGCGGCGACTACGTGACGATCTACATGCCCATGGTGCTCGAGCTGCCCGTCGCCATGCTCGCCTGCGCGCGCATCGGCGCCGTCCACTCCGTCGTCTTCGGCGGCTTCTCCGCCGAGTCGCTCGCGCAGCGCATGCAGGACTGCGAGTCGCGGGTGCTGCTGACGTGTTCCGGCACGATGCGCGGCTCGAAGCCGATCAAGCTCAAGGAAATAGCGGACGCCGCCATTGCCCTGTCCCCCGACCTTCACGGTACCGCGCCCTTCCTTTCCGCCCTTCTCCCTTCGTCCGCCTCGCGTCTCTCTCGCCCTTTTATCCCTCTCAACAATAGTGTGCGACCCTTCCTCTCAACTCCAACCTTCCTCTCCCCCACTCCTGCCCCGCCCCACCCCAACCCCCTCTTTCCCCTCTGAATGGTGCGCGGCGTGGCGGCGCAGTGGCGCGCGTGGTGGTGGCGGACAACCCGCCCGCCATGGCGCGAGACGCGGTCAACATGGTGGACGGCCGCGACGTGTGGTGGCAGGACGTCATTGGCCACGCTGACGTGGCGCCGGGCAGTGATGACGTGGAGTGGATGGACGCGGAGGACCCGCTCTTCCTGCTCTACACCTCGGGATCCACGGGCCGCCCCAAGGTGCGTGTGTGTACGTCGGTGTGACTGTAACGAACGGTGATGGGAAACAGGAGGTGTGATTGCAGGGGAGGAGCAGAGGAAAATCCGAGTGGCATGATTCATCCCCACCGGTTTCAAAACCCCGTCACTCCGTTAACCGCACCCTCGCTTTCCGTCCCCATTTCCCCCTCCCTCTTTTACCCCTTTCCCCCTCTTCCGCGTCCCCCCATGCCCCCACATCAGGGAGTGGTGCACACAACGGGCGGCTACATGGTGTACACAGCGACCACCTTCAAGCACGCGTTTGACTGGAAGCCCGCTGATGTCTATTGGTGCACCGCTGACTGCGGGTGGATCACCGGTCACAGCTACGTCGCCTACGGGCCGCTGCTCAACGGCGCCTCGCAGGTGCATACCCTGCCCTCCATGAGCCCACCCGCGCCGCTGCTCCCCTCCCGCTCAACAATAGTAGCTCCGCAACAACTCTCGCTCTGGGATCCGCCGGTCCGCCCATCCACCTCTTCCCGCCCCCCCTCTTCCTCCCCTTGTCTGACATAATGCCTCCCAATCCCCTCCCAATTACCCTCGTCTCCCCTCTTCTCACCCTCCCTCCCCCTCTCCCCCTGAGCAGGTGCTGTTCGAGGGAGTGCCCAACTACCCCGACTGGGGGCGGTGGTGGCGCATAGTGGACCGCTACGCCGTGTCACTCTTCTACACCGCGCCCACCGCCATCCGCGCTGCCATGCGCTCCGGTGATCAGGTAGGCACACACTGGGGGCACATGGGGGAGGTGTCGCAGGGGGGCGCATGAGGGGCACATGGGGGAGGTGTCGCAGGGGGGCGCATGAGGGGCACATGGGGGAGGTGTCGCAGGGGGGCGCATGAGGGGCACATGGGGGAGGTGTCGCAGGGGGGCGCATGAGGGGCACATGGGGGAGGTGTCGCAGGGGGGCGCATGAGGGGCACATGGGGGAGGTGTCGCAGGGGGGCGCATGGGGCGCGCATGGGGGTGCATAGAGGTGCATGGGGATGCACATGGGGGTTGTGGTTGAGCAGTGTGACGCTGCTGGGCCACACATGTGGAGTATGCATGCATGTGCGTCCATTGCCCACGTTCCTGCAAGCTCCAAGTCTCTCCCCACCATCTCCCACCCACCTCTTAATCGCCACCTCTCCACCTCGTCTCCCGCATGCTGTGTGTGTGCGTGCATGTGCATGTGAGTGCAGTGGGTGGAGGCATCGAAGCGCACGTCGCTGCGAGTGCTGGGCAGTGTGGGCGAGCCCATCAACCCCTCCGCGTGGAAGTAAGCACCCGCCCCCTTGCTGCCTTTGCCTACGAGCATTCACCTCGGCAACGCCTATGCCATGTGCCACGCGCCAGCTGCATGCACAGCCGTGCCATATATTGAACACGTCACTTTCCCTGTGATGTGCGTCACACAACG